TTCCTTCCCTAAAGCATTTGAACAACCGTGATTACGGCTAAGAGGCTTCAGGCAGTCCACTACCCTTATATCAAACTAAAACATAGTGAAATACTTCAAATTTGATTGTCGGATTGATCTACATTGTAAACACTAGCTCTTAAATTTGCGAAGAACACTTCTACATTGTGCGTTACTTAAAACAAACAGGGCTTCCATTGCTAAATTAGCAACCGCTCAGCATCTGCTGAGTCTATTTCGTGTTCTTACTTTGCATAAAACAATCAATAAACTGATTAAGTTCAAAGTTTCTTTACAATAAATAAAGATGCAGTACACGAAGCCAAAATGTCCAGTCCATCTTTCCACATTATGCTGTATTACACCACTTCCACTGTACACAACTGGGTCGAAGAACACTTCTATTATGCTGCGCAGAAGGTTTCACCCCAATATACATATAAAAAAAAAAACATTATATTTGTAAATGATAGTGATTTATTCAATTCTCTCCTAATTCACTCTCCCTTTCTCTTGCAGAATTAAAATTTCCTGTACAGTGCACAGATGATTCCTGAGCAGAGACAAAATGAATGTAATCGCTTCTTATTCTCTTCGAAATATCGTTCGTTCAATAATGTTAGTTCTCTTAACGCAGTGTATCAAAAGTAGAGTATATCCAGTGTATCCATGTAGTGAAATAATAAAACCAAGTTGTGTGTCTGTTTGACCGACCATTGAGAGGAAAAAAAGTGGAGTCGATAAACGATTAAATGTGATGCTAGTTCAGTCTATAATTTCTAGAAAGATATTTGAGATACCTTGCGAAGAAGATGAGATAATCAAAATACAAAGCCACATGAATAGTTAACGTTTTCTCAAATCATTGCAGCATATTAACTCATTTTTAATATTTGTTATTGACAAATGCAATTACTATAATTTTAAAAAGCCTGGAAGCCAAGCTTTCAAAACCTACCAAAATATGAGCCAAAGGACTCTGAGACTTCTTGAAACCTTAATTTTTGACTTCATCGATATAAGCCCGGCCGAGGTTTATAGGATTGTGCAATTTTGAAAATGCTGGGTAAACTTTAAGTTTGGCTTTCTTTAAATAAGATATATAGTGAATAAATTGATAGGCTAAGATCAATGTTCACCGAAACTTTGCCTTTGATTGTAAATGATTTCGCTACTATTGTTAACACAAAATAGAACGCGGCTGCAAGATAGCTATTGATCGACTTCGACAACTATTTACGTTGTGTGTAAATACTCCTATCCTTCAGATCAAAATGCTGCCGATTAGGTTGTCCTCGAGAATTCCAAAGAATTAAAGCAAATATCTTGCGTTTTAACTTCAAAATCACTTTTTCATGTAGGGGTATCAGTCTTTTGAAGTTTGATAGCAGAAAGAAAGGATGTAATTAAAATGTCATCACGTTTTGCTCTTTCAGATAACTGGAAATAATTTTTAAGACAGATGAAAACAACTGAGATTGTGAACTGGATATAACTGAAAGAATTTAAGACTATAGTTTGTTTATTCGTTCTGTATGAGGCACTGAACTTTTAAAATGTTACGGGAATATATCTCATTAAAACTCAATGTATTTAAAAGTTGCATCCTTTTAACTCGAAACAGCTAAATAGTCAGCAACACTCAAAACAATCAAAGTCGATAAATTAGCAAATGTTGACAGTTAGAAAGAAATCTCATAAAGCGATATGAGAAATCTATTTGAGGATTTTTTATTGTTATGTGTAAGTGAAGTGCTTAGAGAGCCGACCTATTCCAAATACGAAGGTTCCTTGCTGCATTTCGTGCAATTCAACCTCACGATGATGGTTTTGATTTTGAATTGTTTATGCTTTTGTGTTTTGCGACAAAGTTGATTGAATACTCCTGTTCATAACATTTTTTAGAATTGAAATCTTAAGCGTAAATTTTCGATCAACTCGAAGCTAAATGTTAAGCAACTCTTTGGTTGTCAGAGCTCGTCAGAAATGTTATCAACTTATAGCTGTTGCGCGCTTCCTAAACTACTTCTTACCAAATACAGTTGATGCTCGATTAAATCTTATTTGTAGCGAACTGTGATTTCACGAAATGTAAGGCTTATTGGTGGAATACCTTCACCAACCATCTACAGCAAGGCACCTGATTTTCAGGGATGTATCGTATATGTTTACTTACGTTCTTTGTCCTGTAGAGGTAAGATATTTCGTTGCAGAATATTCTGTCAGAAAAATTTGGAGTATCATTTGCTTCTGAGAAGAACGTACTGTTCATTTGTCATTATGCAGCGTGATAAGTTATAATGAAATTACCTATAATCATCGAAATTCAGTTATAGCTGGGCTAGCTAAAGTGATAGTTACAACTCTCAAGTCCGTGAAAACACACTTGCGCTAACTTTGACTGAACAAGTATCTTAGGTGGTTTAGATAACCGAATTTGCTCATCTATATAAGCGAAACTTGCAATATCATTTGCTTCTGAGAAGAACGTACAGTTCATTTGTCATTCTGCCTGATTATGCCTGATTTTCAGGGATGTATTGTGTATGTTCACTTATGTTCTTTTTCTTGTAGAGGTAAGATGTTTCGTTTGCAGAATATTCTATAAGCAAAATTTGCAGTTTGCTTCAATACAGTTCTTCAGTTTGCTTCCTCGGTACTGGATCGCAATTTCAGCTATCATAAAAAATCGAGTCTTGCTTCTATTATGGTACTCAAACGGTTTGAGTACCATAGTTCTCAGTTTGGATGGTCTGCCAGTATAATAAATCGAGCTTATTTGCAAATTTTGATTCATAGATGAGCATCAAAGATGGAACTCTTTAGAAAGCATTGAAGAAACTCTGAACCAAATAAGCTGCAAACGCAGACGTTTCCTACAATTATTATTAGCTGACTGATTACATGAAACATTTCGGTTTTAGTCAAGAAAGAAATTGTAAACTTGACCGGCAAAACAACTCAGATTTGCTTCAATGTAAGAAAATCGCAAGATAATTAGAGAGACCACCATTTTGAACTAAGAACGGTCGCATAAAATGTTATGATTTTTGAGAGTCTGTTTTCAGTTCCTATTCTAATACTTCGTACTTGTAGTGAGACTCTGAGCGGAAACAACCAGCTCTAAATACATAATATCATCTCGTATGAAGTATGTAATGTATTATTATTTCAAAGCAGACTAATCTGGACGTAACTCTGTTCGCCGGTAAAAAATTCCGGTGAAGAAACTTGGTCCGGTTGGCTGAATTGATGACCTATATAAGGATTGACAACCCTGCTTACCTGATGGTTTCGACCGAAATTGGGCAGACGATACCTTCGGATTATGATTGCAGAGTAGATAACGCTCACTCCAAACACAGGCTGCATTATTCGGCGTCAGACTTATCAGTCTTGAATGATAAACTTGTTAGTAATTACACACATCATTTTATCAAATTAGGGTTCGACCAAGTTACTTGTTAAAATCTTTAGTTTCCTTTCAATCGTATGAACGTTGTGTCACTTGTTCCTACAGAACACATTCCATAAACCATTGCAAATGATAACGCAAGAAAGATGTGCTTTATTTCAAGTCTAGGCTTTACTTGCCGTAACAAGGACCTCCAGGGTAGTCTCTCGAAGGACCACATGGAAACCACGAGGTTGTGTCCGCCAAAGCGTGACGAATGCACTCACCATACGCATGGTAGCTCTTTTGTTGAGAGACATTATCATAGTTCTAATCTGGTGCGTGAACTATATTTGGTCAGTTTAGCGGGTCGTAGTTCACTGCACAGCCCGCTGATTTCAAATTTTCCTTCATCTAGGCAGTTCGGAAAGCCGCAAAACTCTACAAAAAAAATCCCTCTTTCAAATCGGCACTCTCAAACACACAGTGTCCACGAACGCTTGTTAATTTATTCTTATCTTTCTCGTCACCATGTTCCTACCAATAGCGTAGCCCCATTTTCTGCACATAATTACACACACAACCCACAATTCCCCTGTTCGCTCTGACGAACTAAAATTTATTGGCTAATATATATAATATATAATTTATAATATTGATGAGCCCTAATTTTAAATTTTTTATCCGACCGGCCATTGCTGGTTTAAAGTAAGAGAGCGGAAGGTAGGGGGAGGGGGCCAGGGAAAGTCGAGAAGACTGTAACATTCAGGTTTCACCCCTCCCCTCTCCTTCTTTTTGACCGTCACTCACCCACTTGGTACAAATTTATTTCTCTCCCCAGCTTTCCGCTGCCGTAGCAGTCAAAAATGGCAGTTAGAGATATCACCAAGTGAATACTGAGCATTCGTTCGCCAAAGTTATGCGTGCTCTGCAGGCTAGGGGAAGATTTTCATGCAACGCAGTTTTGAATTTAGTGTGGAAGTGTGGAAACTGGCGAAACCATTTTGTGGACGGACAAACCAAGGTACAAATTAAAAAAAAACGGCCATTATTGGATAATGATAAGATAGCTTTGAGTAGGAATTAGGATGACGTGATTACGCAAGGGACCTAGTCAGTCAATGGGTAGTTTTTAGATAGTTCAGTCAACTAGTTTTAAGATAGCTAAAATATACAGCCCAATTTTGTGAGGTAAACAAACAAACAAAAACAAAAAACTGCCGCATCTCCCTCAGCAGTTACCTTTTAAAATCACGTTCAATTGGCTGTGTGCAAGCTTCACCAGTCACTGTAGACACTAAAAATTGAAAGGCTGGTTATTAAAACCACGTTTCTCAACAGCAAAATTGCGCACTAAACCGGCACTAACTTATCCCAACGTTATATTTTAACGTTAATCTTTGACTGTACCGAACCCTTCTGTGGGCCTTTGAAAGCATAAAAACCTCGTCAGAAAAGGTGGTGAAGGTAACTGCACTTCTAAAGGTAATTCGGAAGGCTGCAAGGTTTGAATAATTACTTTATTTTCTCTTACATTTAACTTATGCCTTTGGTGCTCCTCTTACCCAGGGCACCCGGTCACAGTTCGAGGAGTAACCCTGGGTAGGGGTGATTAAAAAACATGGCGGCAGATTCCGGGGAATCTTCGTTTCCTTTCATTTCTCGTCGATCTCCTGTTCTTTCCCTTCGTGGAGCGGTAGCTTCAAGTCAACCACTAGCAACAGACGCAGGATTAAAAATTTTACGAGCTGGTGGAAATGCAGCCGACGCAGCAGTCGCCGTTGCCGCCTGTTTGAATGTGACGGAACCTTGCAGTACCGGGATAGGAGGAGATGCGTTCTGTTTATTTTATGACGCGCAAAAAAGGATTGTCAAAGGAATCAATGGAAGGTATTGATGTTTATAGTAATTCATATTCAGAACTTTCCTATAGACTATTAGACCAGGGGAAGTCAAGATCCAAAAGTTTGTTTCAGATGTGAAGAGTAGGGCAAGTAACTGCCATGCACGCGCAAATCATATGAGCTGTTTCGACTAGGTGCTGTCTATATTCTGTTCGAATCGTCGCCAAAACAGGCTACGGTTGAAGTTAGCGCTATGGTTGCGTAGATGCTCCCAAAAATATTTGAGAGGGTCAGGTGTCAAACTCGAGAGATGACCAATTGGAAATTTGTTCCTTTTCCGTCAGGCCCACTACCTAATCTGCCCCATTTGACCTACCCCCTGAAAATGTGCTTTTAACATACGTACGAGAGACACGGGAAAAACAGGGCACTTTCTGGAAGTGATCTGAAGTGTTTGTGTGGTCATCCAATCTGACTTTCATATGTCAAAGGGTGATGATGAAGGAGGCAGATTGTAGCTTGCACATCAATTTCAGTATCAACGAGAAATCCCCTCCAGTTTTGCTGTATAATGTTACAGTTTTGTTTCCTGAAAATGAGGTACTATTTTAGAGAGAAAAAACAGCAGGAGTTTCCCTTTGAGTCTGCATCCTCCTTTTCTTAACTCTAACAACTCAACCTGCCTCACTTTTATTTATAGTAATTTACATAACCAAATCTGGGCATTTAAAATTCCATTATTTTTGCTCAAGTGTTTTTTTTGCTAGGCTACAAAACTGCAGCCAGTTAATACTTTATCATCATGTACGAGATCTAGTCTCTATTATGTATGAGAAAGTAAAGAGGGTGATATTTTTACCATAGTTGATAAATTTTCCTATTTATTCATAATTCTGTCTTTTTGGTGTGTTCCATTTTTTTAAGTGGACGAGCATCATCCAACTTGACATTAGATTGCCTGAAAAGAGCAGGTGTTGTAAAGCCTGGTGATGATCACTTGCCTTACACATCTGCCCATTGTATCACTGTCCCTGGGGCTGCTGCTGCTTGGTGCGATACAGTGGAACAGTTTGGTAGTGGAGAGGTACTTGTAATTGTAATGACCTATTAGGTGTCCCTTTTCACTCAAAAACAAGCCATCAGATTATTAGATTGATTACTTTTAGCATTTCTGATTAGCTGGCACATAGTAATTCAAGAAAAGTTCAAAACTGGTGAACAAGCAGCTGAGAAACACCTTCAGCTAGACTGAAAATTTATCTTTTGTTGTTTCTCGATCATTGAAAAATTATGTATCTAGTATCTCATCATGTCAGGCAAAGACTGGGAAGGTATCAAATTAATTTGAAGAACTGATGCATTTTCCAAAACCAGGCATCCTATGCAGTATCATGAAGACTTGAATTAATTCATAAAGGGGTAAGTTTTTAAAGAAACTGTGCTGCTGCATCAGTGGGAGAGTATAGCAGGTAATTTAGTGTTAACAACTGAATTGAAAACATAAATTAGCTACTGTAAAGGGTAAAAAAGCTGACATTTCGAGCATTAGCCCTTCGTCAGAGTGATTGATCGATTCACATGTGAATTTATGTTGCATTTCCTTAAAGGTAAATCCAGGCTTTAGAAGAATAGTGAACCCCTATGCAATTTAGCTGTTTATTTGCAACTGAACTCACAATTTATTTTTCTTTATTGTTGTTTTCAGTTATCTTTGAAAAATATCTTACAACCAGCAATTGACTTAGCAAAGGAAGGATTCCCTGTTCACCCAGTTGCTGCCTATTTTTGGGATAAATGTGGGTCGTGTCTTCAAGTTCCAACAAATAAACATGGATGTGACATGTTGTTAAATGGACATCCTCCCAAAGCAGGTGATGTCATGGTGATGCCACATTTAGCTGCAACATTTGAGGTAACCTTTTCACACAAACCCTATGAAGTAAAAGAACTACCTCTCTATTTTTGAAAAGCTAATCCTTTCCTATATTGCTGTTAACAAAAATACCACTTACTAACTGAGTTTTTGGTCCATATTGTAAGTCATGGATCAAGCAGAAAAAACAACATTTCAAAACCTAAAATGTGGACCAAGAAAACTAGGTTAGTTGGATATTTATTATTTCTTTGGATTCAAACAGAGAGGGAAGACTTCAAGTCAAACAAACTTGTAAGTTTAGTGGGCCAAACATTGAAGTACAGCCCTCATAATTAACTTATCATAGCAATGATGTTTTACTGTATGAAAAAATGTAATTTAGCATGAGGGGCATCTAATTAGCTTGCTGTATTATGCCCTTCTCCATTGTCGTAATCTTGTTATGATTATTCAAATGTTGTGATGGTTGAAATAGAGGAAATAGTAAAACAAAAAAACCCCCAAAAAAAACCACTTTGTGCCTTCAAAATTTGCCCACTGACTTCATATAATTTGCTCCTTTAATAAGTACAGGTGTACTGTGCAGATGGTAGAGGTGGGAAAGCTGCAAGGGAGCTAACACTGTAAAAACATTTTAACTGGCTACAGAAACAAGAATTAAACTTTTGGTAGGGGTGCTAAGCATTCAGTTATGTGCATGTAACTCAGCCTGGCCATGCGGGAATTGGACAGAAAGGGTGGAAACCCTGGAATGTCAATCAAAGAAAATGACATCTAAATAAATATTTATTTCAAGTTGACCTGTGCTATCCCAGTGGTTTTCCTTTATGAGAGGAATGACTTGGTTTATTTGCTCTTAATGAGTAGATTCAGTTTCTTCTGCTGCTGTAGACTGGGTTACCATTGCAAATTGATGTTTTGTAGGACTTGGCTTCAAAAGGGAAGGATGCTTTCTACAAAGGACGTATAGCCAAGGCAATAGTTGATGTTGTACAAGAGCATGGTGGATTGTTATCCCTTGAAGACTTGCAGCAACATTACAGCACTTTTGATGAACCAATAAAGACTTCTTACCGTGGGATAAATGTTTGGGAAATGCCTCCAAATGGACAGGGAATCACTGCACTACTGGCATTGAACATACTAGAGGGATATGACATCCAAGGTTAGAAATAATGAAAACTTATAGCAGCAGGAACAAAAATCTCACACTTGAGGAAGTACAGATATTTTACCACAGGATTTGTTTCAGTAGTGCTTGGTTGTAGCAGTGCTGTTAACAACACTTTCCAAAGTATTTTGTGTTTTCCAAAATAGCATTTCCGCAAAAAAGGGATCCTTTAGGAGTTAGTTCCGTATCAGTTTCTTAAATTAAGACCTTTTTTATAGACCCACTGATAGGGTGACTTGAAAGCAGCAATGTCTTGGTAGAAAGTGCGGAAATGTCTCACAAATGATAGCACCAGAAAGACTTCGATTTTCACGGAGAAAGGAAAAGTGTTGTTTCAAAGGGGTAAAACATTATGCCGTAATTCAACGGACGGTTAAACGTGAGAACATTTTACCCATGCAAATATTCCACTTTCCACTGGATGGTTTGTTCACCCTGATCAACGTGCCACAAATGTTCAGAACGTTTAATACTTGAGAATAATGATTTCTTTGATTTGAACTTTAAACATTAACTATTAAACTTGTGGCAGTTTCTAGTAACAGAAGCAGAAGCAAGAGCACTAACATAAGTTGCGGCAGTAGTAGAAACAGGAGTAATATTAGCAGTAGCTGTATCGGTTAGTAGCAACAGTTGTAGTGGCAGAAGCGTAACCCTTTGACTCCTTAAAGTAACTAGCACCTAAAGTCTCCTCACAATAACACCCCTGAATAAGAATCAAGGAAATGATCACCAATTAAAGCAGTTCTTGATTATTAAACAAATTCTCCTGGTCAGCATTCTAGGAAATTTAAAGAGAAAAAGAAGGGGGAGTCTGCATACTGGTGTTAGGGTGTAAATGGTCAAACAGTGGCGATAGTAGAAATGCTCACCGCAATCACGGTGGTGACAGCAGTGGTGGCAGTGTTAAAGGCAGTAAAATTACTTAACTGTTGCAGCAACTGACCGCAGTAAAACAAGTGGCATTAGTAGTAATAGTGTATTCATTCAAAACAATATTGCATTATTAGAATAATTGTCCAATGATCTAATGAATTTAAAATTTGTTAAACAGTTGAAACTCGTTTTTCCAATCCAGGGATGACCCATAACTCTAGTGAATACCTCCACACCTTAATTGAAGCTTTGTCGTTAAGTTTTGCGGATACTCTGTGGTATAACGCCGACCCAAATAAAGTCAAAGTACCCGTTAGTGGATTATTGTGTAAAGAATATGCAGCAAAACGTCGAGCCCTTATCAATGCCCATAGGTCAGTATTCTTATTGTTTGCCAGTTTTCCATTTTTTTTTCTTTTTCACTTTTTCGCTTTTCGAGTAATACATTTAACCTAAACACTGGTAGTGGGATATTTTTTGCAAGAAATGGTCTTTCTATTCTCTTTTAGGCTTCTAAAATCTAACCATTTTTTAGGATCGGATCTTGTATGGGGTATAGTGTATACCATTGCACAGTGGGTTATGCAGAGGAAACCTTGTTTTTCCTGTAGGTGAAAATTTAACTTAATTTGCAAATATACTCGGAAACGCTGATAGGAACGGGTGTAATCCGAAACGTTTTGGTTACGCGTGTTGCTCGGCGTATTTGGGGCCATGTTTTAGAAGTTCAGATCGTATCAGAGGTGACTCTTGTATCTACCTCAAAGCTTTGCCTACTCCTCACCACTCCCTCCCATTAAAAATGCAGGCCCATAGGTTCATTTCAATTTTTTGCACTCCTGCTACGCTTGTTAGTGATGCTAAGTTTATTTTCTCTACTTGTTTTACAGAGCGTTGGGAAGCTATGAGCGTGGTTCACCATTCAGTGGTAGTGACACTGTATATTTTAGTGTTGTTGACGCTCAGGGTAATGCCTGCTCCTTTATCAACAGTAATTACCATAGCTTTGGTACGGGCCTGGTTCCTGAGGGTTGTGGATTCACTCTTCACGTAAGTACATTACGCTTACAAAGTTCGTCTATTTCTTGACTTGTATTGACATTTGTGTGTAGAGCTGTTCGGTAATGTCTGATATATTCCAAATGGACAAGCGGTGATGAAATTTTGCTGCTGAATGCCTTTGAGTACTCAAAAGTGGTTGGTAACCTGTAAATATAAGTTCCTTTAATAGCTTAGAATAACTATCTTACCTGTTAGGTATTGTATGCTGATGTATCATATTCTTGGATGGTAGAGAAAGTTCAAACTTCACACTTCAGTCCTAATTTGTGAGAATAAAACGTAAAATTAATGTACTTCCTGACTGTAATACTCTTTTCCAGAATCGTGGAAGTAATTTTTCGCTTCGTCCTGAACATCCAAATTTCCTAGAGCCAATGAAGAGGCCATACCACACCATCATACCTGGTATGAGTACACATGAGGAGACTGGGGAATTGTTCGCGTGTTTTGGTGTTATGGGAGGCTTTATGCAGCCGCAAGGACACGTGCAGGTGAGATGGGGGTGGATGCAAGCATGGTGTGTACTCATTGACTGAGTGGAAGGACCGGATGGAGAAATGCGTGGCTGAAGGACAAGAAGTAATTATCGAGTGCAGCCAGGGACCTATGTCATAACCCGAGTCAAATATTTTCCCGTCCGTCCTCACCGATCTCAGTCAATAAGAAGTTTATCATATGACCGCTGCTCATTCATTTTCTTTCCTTCGTCTGTCAGTTCACATTTTGCGGGGTCAGACGGTTTATTCTGACTCCTCTGAAATTATTGCATATGGCCTTCACACTGGTATATTTACATATAGTTTTTCAACAAAAGCGCGCGAGGCTACACGGTCATATGATAATACAGATTATTAAATGTTCCTCTATCCTTTCCTTTCCTTTTCTGCAAAGGCAAAGTGTGAACCTTAGCTGTGTCCTTGTTTCAGGTACTGCTTAATATGATCGACTTTGGGATGGACCCTCAACAAGCTTTGGATATGCCGAGATTTTGTATCCAGAGTGAAGGCCAAGGCCTTGGGTCCGTTTTCCTTGAGGAAGGCATTTCCGGAAGAGTCGCCAGTGAACTAAAGGAACTCGGACACAAAGTCGCATACCCGGTGTGTGGCCACAACAGGAGTGTTTTTGGACGGGGTCAAATAATTACTCGAAAGAAAGCACCTTGCAAAAATGGACTTAAACGGGATGTTTATTGGTCTGGTTCTGATCCTAGAGCTGACGGTTCAGCACATGGATTATAAAGAATGGCAAGAACTTAAGTCTCTTTGGTAGTGATTTAAAGCTACAAGCTGTCGGATCTAAGAAACGACTGTGGAAGGAAAATTTAAGTATTGATGATTATAAATCATAATGATGTTAGTAAACACATCGTCTTGCTTCACTTCCATAGGTAATCACGCGTAATGGATTATATGATTCGTCCGTTTTGACAAGAGGGATTCTTAACTAAAATTGCGAAGGTCTGATTTGTAGTAGTGTTTTCTCACTCACACTAAAATGTAAGGTTAAAAGGTGTTATATTCGTAATGGTCAGGGGAAGCATTTCGCTGAGTGAATACTAAACGACCGGTAGTGTGCTTGCATGAGTGGACCTGAACTTATCACAGTCAGGTGGGAATAGAGTTACATCACTCTGTTTTATGAACTGCCCCGACACAAATGCTTGTGGTCACTTAATTTTCCAAATGTAAGAATGACTGGTCACAAAATTGATGAAAGGTGCGGGCTAAACAAGGTACTTTGTATGTTGAATGTAAGCACGTAGGTCCTAAAAACCTCGCAACACCATTAGTGAGCTGATTAATATGTGTTTTGTATCGAGGTATGAAATCAGTGATGTTTTCAAAACAGTATACAAATTTAAAACGTGGATGATATGCTTTATGGCCGCTTAACAGGAGTATAAACAATAGAAAAACTCCTATCGGCACGGATAAAGGAAGCTTCAGTCGCTTGATAGGTTTTTTATTCGCGGGCTGATTGTATAATGATCGTAATTTTGCAACTCTGGTAAGTGGGCGCCCTTAGGAGTAGCGCCTAACATGGATTCCATTCTGCGTGGAAACACATGAACGCATAAGGAAAATTAATAGTTTGGATGATTCAAGTATTTAAAATGGGCGAAAAGGAGAATAATTTATTTTTTTGAGAAAGTGAATATGCATTTTTTATGTGTTTTTATACCATATTGCAGATAAGTGATTTTCAAATTTAGTCTTTACTGCAGCTTATTGGTCGTTAAACACGTACTGAGAGTAATGCTTGAGGTTAACATCTCACTATAAATATTTTAAAGTACCATTTATAAGAATTTTATGAACAAAATATTAAAATGCTTTCGCGAATGGTTTGTGACATTACCAAAGATCTTGTTAGATTTTTGTTTTTAGTTTTTTTTTTTTAATCTTAGTTCGAGAATTGGGGATTTTTTTTTGGGTTTCGGTGAAACAAATTTTCAGGTGTGCGTTTTTAGAAATGACAACATTTTATCCGATGAAGGTAGCAAAATTCTGCGACGTTTATTAAGTGGAAATTTCTCTTTTTTTCTAGGACTTGTTTTTGCAAATCAAGGAAAATCTACAGAATTCACCAAAAAAAAAAACCTAACACATTTTCTTCTACACAGTACCTTTACTTTTTAAGCTCTTCATTCATTTCCGGTGCGCAATTTGAAATGCTGAAATCACCATAAGATTAAACTTGTCGATTTTTCTTAACTCAAGTGAATAGTAACTTTTCCATTAGTGGTCATTTATCGTTTTTGTGCAAATTATCCAACGCCCAAACGAATCTGTTAAGTTTAAAGAGCCTTCTTCATCTCTTTCACGGGTAGAAAGTTTTTTTTTTTTACTTTCATCTGTGAATTTTCGGGGCCCACTCAAAAAAAAATGGAGAAATAAGGTGGCAATTATTTCTTGAAAGTATGATGTACATCAGTAATAAGATAATATATTATGTTGAGAACCCCGCCGGGCTGTAGCAATCTTTGTCAGCTTTTGACTACCTTTGAATTAGGAAGTGTATGTTTTAACTTAATGAGATATTTCCATTTACCATGCTTTTGTTTTATCGAGATATTTTCAATATGATAACACGGCACCAATCAATTGAGCAGGTTTTTTTTAAGCATGTAGACAAAACAGTAATGGGCACGTGAAAGAAAGAGTCGGGCGGGCTATAGTTCAAAAAACAGCCACACGACGGAATATCTTGTTTATTGGAAGTTTGATGGTAAATCGTAAGTGAAAGAGCAAAGATAAAGATGCCATTGGCGACAACACTCGTCCTCCAAGTCTTATTCGGTGTGTCGATAGCATTAAGCCTGTTTGGTAACACACTGGTTATCGCAGTTGTCTCGTGTCACCGCAGATTGCAGACTTCCATGAACTGTTTGTTAGCCAATCTCGCCATTGCTGATTTTTTCGTTGGTTTATTCTCTTTTCCAAGGACATTTCACGCTGGTCTTTATACACATCCCAGTGGATTGGCTGGAGATATCTTGTGCAAGACATTAACTAACGGAAATTTCGTTTACTTAGCAGCGGTAGCATCGATATTAATTTTGGTGTTCATTGCCTGGGAAAGATATTTTGCCGTGATTCATCCGCTCAGCTCTCGCGGACGAATAAACGCTAAGAGACTCCGTCTGGTGGTGGCTGTCTCTTGGGTTGCTGCATTCAGCCTGGAGCTGATTCCGCTCTGGGTTGTTAATTTTGACGAGGAGAAGAAAATTTGCTCCTATAACTGGTCTGATACCCTTCGGAAAATTGACGTGTTCATCTGGTGTATCGTCCTCGGTTTGGTGCCACTTGGAGTCGAGGCCTGCCTCTATTCCCGGGTGGTTTATCGCCTATGGGGTGGAAACAAACAAACCGTAAATATTTCTGAGCGCTCCTTAATGCTTCAGAGGAAGAAGTTGACCAAAGTTGTCCTTTCCATTACTATTGTAAACGTTATCTTGTGTCTTCCACTCGACGTTTATTTCTTTGTCGAATGTTTCGCTGGTAAGTCTGTGGCTGTGGACACAGGCTCTTGGTCACCACTCTTCAAATCAGTCGCCCACTTGATGCTAGTTCTAAATGCTGCGTGTAATCCAGTGATATACGCAGCACAAGATCGAAGCTTTAGACGATATATTTGGCGCTTTTTGAAGAAGATATGCTGTTGGAAGATACCTGCCAACAACTGATTTTGAGCGGACAACCAACAATTTCCTTTTAAGAAAGGAAAGGATGGTGGATAACTGTTGAGGACGAAAAGCGTTTTATTTTGGGAATGAAGTTCTTAGAGTGGCTTTTCAGAGCAAAAAAAACTTAATTACCACCGAGATGAAAGAGACAAAAGAGTATTTGTTACCGAGTGGTTTAAGCCGCTTTTCGCTGCTACTGAACTATACTCTGTAGCGCATGGTCATGACACACGATCGAAAACCGACAGACAGGGTTACCATTACCATAGTGGATTTTTTTGCGTGCCCTCAACCAATGAATTCCGCGTTTTTCTCGCTCTGAGTACTATGGATTTAACTTACTCCAGTTCGTCAATCTCCACGTAGATAACCAGAACAAATGTGTACAGTTAACACCATGTCTTTTTGCATTGTATTGTACGCTCCTAGTTTACCTTATAGGGGTTAATTTATTTAAATAAGCCCAAATTTATCTAACAGCAGCCCAGAAAGATGAAAAATGGAGAAGGAAAAAAGAAGTTTCATTTAAAAGTGAAGCGGTACCCCGATACCTCCTTGCTTCCTCAATTTATTTGCAGTCGCTCTTTAGGCGCTCTGGAACACACTAATCCCTTTTGTTGGTGGTTTATCGGATAAATTTGAATCGCATTCATGAATTTTACCGCTTTAATGAGAAACACAGGGCTGTATGTCAATGAATGAAGCTTTTTCTGACCAGAGTAACCTTTCAACTGATCATTGAAAATATGTTGATGTTTAGCCTGTGTTAAAAAAAGCCACTAGCTGCAATGTCGGTGAACTGTTACCCTTATGACCGTACGGATATATCTTCGGATCCGTACCTTACAGTTGTCTTTAGTGGTTATTTTAGGACATGTAAATTGCATTTTAAAAGCCGAACATAAAATTAGCATAGATATTCAAAAGCCTCATCAAAGAACAACTAATGTTGCATGGCGCAGCCGCGCATTGTTATGATCTATCTGTTTCCTTTGTTATTTGCATTTTCAAAACCACTCAGTGGTGCTTACGGGTAAGAAGTCTATAAGTGACTCTCACTTTGTCCTGTGTATTTTTCGTGAGCTGAATATGTTACATCTTCCATCAGTGGGTGATATCCCTTGTTTCAAGTGAGAGAAGATGTAGAGCTCCTTCATCAAGGCAGGAGACGTTTCAACGCCGCATGTCGACATGTTGTTGCTTTCCGCTTTTGTAATGTTTTTCTTTTTAAGATAGATCTCTCCGCTCAGCTGGTTGTTTAGACATGTAGGCGTCGCCATTTGGTATACAGCGGAATCATATCATAAAGGTGTTGTATTACTGAGCATTCCCTTTCCGGTCACAGATACGTTTAGTCGTTGAGGTTCGCTGTTCATAGTATTATTAAAAGTCTTATTTAGTATTTTCTGAATGCGATGTCTTTCGTATTCTCCAGGTAGCAATAAAATAACGATGGCCACCACCAAACCAAGGAGAAAAATACTTGAAGCAACTCGTTTTAACCAGCGTGAAGACATAAAAAAGCAACAATTTCTTGGGCTCTTCATGTGATAGCCGTGGTCGTCTTAAACACTAACTGTTAAAATACCAGTATAAATATAAATTATTCAATACAAGGCACCTTTTATTGTCTTTTGTCATTGTGACATATGTAAATTGCATAGAAAACTCAATTTAAATTAAGAAAAATTCATCTATGTAGAACGACAAATACTGATCTAAATATTGAGACTACGGAGGTAAAACAGTATAGACATGTTTGTTATTGTCGGTTATGTAAATAAACAGATTATACTGTTATACCTGCCCCTTTGATTTCCTTTGACGGTTTTACCAAGGAAATGTAGTTTGAAGAAATAACAATCAAAGGAGTCTTGGGAGAAAAATGTGTTTTTTGTCCACCTCAGCAAATCTCTTTTTCCGAAAGGTATCCGTATTTACGAGTGAAACATGAAATCCATCCATTACAGGGTTTGACTGTTTTCTAAATAATTTTTCTTCCGTATGCCGACGTTCTTCAAATAAATAATGTGAGTTGAGCAGTTTGATCCTTAGAACATAATTTCCTTTTTAAAGTCGTCCTAAAACTCAGCTTTCAACTTGTTATTCACCCTGTATTAATGAGTAGATTTGGACTCGAGATGATAAACTTTTGAAGTAAAATGATTAATTTTAAAGTCAGGAGTCAAGATGATCAATTTCAAAGTCGGAACTAGGGTGCCGAACCGCCTACGGGTTATCTTATAAGATCTATGATGTTCTATAAGCCAAATAAATCATTCGAACAGATGGTCTGGAAGAAGCTATCAAAATATATAAAGTTATGCTTTGTAGTAGTCTTCTTTGTTCCTACCTCTAGGACGCGTATTACTGGAGACGAGTACAGGTGAAAGCTTAGTAACCACCACAATTTAAGATGGCGGCCAAAACTACCCGAAAGGAGGTGAATGATGAATTGGATTTTTTATCCTCAAAGTTCGATCCATTTAAGGCTCTGTACACCAAAGACCTTCAACCACCCGTCCCTAACATAAAAGTATTCAATAATTTGGTCGAATATGCGATTGCAATCAAGGAAGGAAAGACGAAGACAACCACAGTCTCTAGGGAGAATAGAGCGAAACGTGTGAAATCTTTAGCATCACAGACTGCCTCTAGAACGAAAAATCTTAAACCGGAGTACAAACCAGCTGAGAAGGAAGGTCTACAAGAAAGACTTAAGGCTATTGCTGAATCAAAAGCATTTATCGCTAAGAACAGAAAAACTGAGATAAAGATTGGTGGACGAGTGGAAGACGCAAAGCTGCACGAATTTATGCTGGCCGAGGAAACATATAAAGCACAACAACGAAAGAAGAAACGAGTGGATGTGATACAAAAAATGGAAGGTAGGGTCAACAAGGCTGGTTTTTTATTCTGATTTTTCTGCTGTGTGGAACAGTGGTAGATTTGTGGAACAATTTTGCTTGAGGATGGGGAAGTTACTAATGTTCTGTGCGCGGACTCCCAGGAGTCAACTCCAAGGCAATAATGAATGTATAATTATTATGTGGGTTTATTTAACAACTCATAGTTACATTTGGCAGAGTGTTCTAAACTATGGTGAATGTCTGAATTGAGCGACCTAGAAATAACTTCATACTTGTTCAAACTGTTGTCTTCCCATTAACCATGATGATACTGAACTAAGGCTGAACTTATAGGAGTTGTGCATCTCATCAATTCAAGAAATTGATTCTATTTGCCAAGAGGTTGTTCACAATCAATGTAGATGACATGGGCTAAAAGCTTCAGAGTATGTTACTGATGTTTTTACCAAGTTTTGAATTTCTCTATTGAATGTGATAATGTGGGAAAAAATTATAGTTATATTTTATTGCCTACAGAGTGTATCATGTCCAGTTCATGACAAAAGCTAGAAAATCTTCAAAGGTTTCAAGTCTCTTCTTTAGGATTATCTTGAGTTTGAGAGTAGTGCTAGTCACTGTAGAAATGTATTCCCCACTGGCTAAATGTCTTAAATTTTTCACTACTACAGTGCCAATCCACAAAATGTTCAAACTTTAGACTAATGCGATAAAATGTCCATAGGTCAGCTTAAGGATAATCAAACATATTGATCTGATGCATCTGAAATGATGCAAGTCCCTCTATTAAATCAGTCAAGCATTGATCACCAAGCATGCAATAATTTTCTCTGCTTGTCTGGGGTGTTCATGACCATATAGTGTTTGTAGGCATGGGGCAGGGGTACTGTGTATTTCTCTTGGGGTAGACTGACATTTCATCGCATCACATCTCTGTTTGTATCAGGGCACTAGGCATTCATGTAAAGTGTGCGTAAAAAATTTATAATTGCTGTATAGCATGTGGGTACATGCATGGCACCATTCTTAAAAATTGCTAAAAGTAATATTAACAATGGAATAGTAAACTTGAACATGCATGTTAATCTGAAACTCTAACCACTTCAGCAGTGTCATTTGTACCAAGTTCTTTTCTTGCATGGGCATAAAATAGAAGTTATGCATTATAAGTTCCAATTTACCCAAGTTAAATTTTTGTAGGGTGTATGTGCTCTGTTTGTTTTTTCCTTAACACTGTATATATATTTATTTACACTTAAAAAATTATCTTAACAATTATTCTTACTTTTTTTCAAATTTCTTAAATTTTCCGAAGGTGAATTCAAAACCCATTTACCCTTACATTAATATGTATATTCTCCATAATGCTCCTCATAAATGTCCTTTAGTGCTGATCAGGAGAATTTGACAATCAAGAGCTTCTTCATTTTGCAATGATTTTCCTTATTATCATGACCTTGATATTTGATTCAGCAGTGATGCTGTAAGGAAAATTTTCATTGAAGTTACTCTTAAGGCCCATTTAAACGGTTTCAACATTTGCTTCAACTTGCATTCAACACTTTGTTGAACCAAATGTTTGGTGCGTTTGAACAGGTCATCCAACATTGTTGAAAACATAAAAGTTGTTGAAAGCTTGTTGAAAGGGTGTTGAATCAAGTTTAAATTGGTTTAAACTTTCATTCAACATCGATCCAATTTTTCCTTTGTTCTTGAAAATGTTGAATGGCCTTTTTGGACGATTTCGACATTTACCCAACGTCCGTTCAACTTTTGTTGAACAAATGTTGGTCAAATGTTGAAACTGTTTAATTGGGCTTTTAGGGGTTAAAGGGTTAAGAAGTAATTCAAAAGTGATTAGATCATCTATGGTAGATATCCTTGCAATCATGTTTAATTAAATTTACTATTAACATTTTCTATTATGAAAACAGCATATTAAAATTTATTTTCTGCTCACACAGATCTTAGTCAAGGACCTTTCAGAATACTTTACACTTGTCTTACTGAGAGGCGCAAAATAAAAGTTTGGACAAGGAGATACAAAGGACTGCGCAGTGTCTTGGCTGGATACCTTATTGCTTTTGACAAACACATGAATCTTGTGAGTAAAATAGCAGCATAAAATGTACTCCTCCTGATAGGAATGTTAAAATAGTGCCAGTTATCAATAATGGGAATTGGATGAAAAAAATTACTGGAACAAAGAAAAAGTAGAGATGAGGGGGATGAAGGGTGGGGAATGGATGGGGGGAAGGATGGGGAGCACTGTAGTGAAATTCTTGTGGGGTATTGCCAAGGCCTGTATGCTTTGACATTGTATCTGACAAAATTCGTTCATTTAGCTGCTTCGTTTATGACATCCAACAATATCAGACAGGATTTAAGCACATATGAAGCGAAATTAAGACTGGGAACGAGTTAGCACATGATCACGTAGAAAACTATGATTACAATTTGAACACGCCTTCAAATCTTGTACATCTTTTGAAATTTTGTTGTTGTCCGCAATAATGTTGGATAGTGATTAATTTCTGTCTTCAGCAAGCTCCACCGGGAGTCGTGAAATATCCTACTCTGATAGTGAACTAAAAATGGATGATACAAGTACGGTTGAACCCCATGAAGGAAAAGTCTCGTGCTTCAAGCGACGATTTCGTGAAAGACGAAAACAATACTAAACAAAACGTTTTCTCCCTGCAGTTTGAGGTCGACCTTCGAATTAGAAACAAACATGGCTCGAGTTGTCTAGAGTAAAACTATATAGAAATTGATCTTAAGGGTGACAGCAATAGCTTCGAAGGAAGGAAGTCCGAGTTATTGGGGGCGGGGGGGGGGTTGGTTCCGAGTTATTGCGGGAAAGATACCGTTTTTGTATGCGAGGGAAAACAGGTTAGTTTGACTTAGCACGAGATTGGAGTTTTTGGGAGTCAACTGTTACTTATTTCCAAGCTAACTTGATATAAGGTGACGCATAGGCAGACGACCTCAGCGTCTAAATAAGACTGCTAGAATGCAGTTAAAACTTTGCGAGCCACATCGGAAGTGATTCCAGTAAGAAAAGAACCTACTTTTACAATTTTTAATGTATTTCACCATGATCAAGAATAACCACTCACTTTTTGATAGTACTTTCCATTTGTTTGCAGTGCGAATCGCTCGACGGGTTTTAGATAAATTTTGTCTTTCTCCTGGTATCTTCAGTTGCTTGAAGATTTCACTTAATGAATTTGTAAGTTTTGTGAAAAAATGTGACTTTGGAACGAAACATTTTTATTTTTTAATTACAGGCTCTATTCGATGTGGATGAGGTGTACACCTTAGAGGATAGTGTCGAACGGCAAATGTCTCCCGAAACAACAAAAAAGAAGAAAAAGAAGAAAAGGATAGCTTCGCTACTTGAAAATGAAGAGGCAAAAGAAACGAGGAAAAGTGAATCCGCTGACAGCAATTCCTCTTTAATGCCGTCACTTGAGCTGGAAGAAGTAGTTACCATGAACACTATTGGCGATGCTGCCAATGAAGTGTTTGTTAGTGATAATCAGGTTGGCACGAAGACTGTCCTGCCTTGTACACATTTTAAGCCTCGGTTACCTTCCTCCAATTCTAATGAATCCATCTTTGGAGACTATAGCGATACAGGTCATTCTAGTTGCGGTAATTCTAAAGACGGTTATGAAGATTCCTCGTCACCTTCAGCAAAAGCCCTTAGTATAGCTTTACAAGCTCCTATTTTTCATCGTGTTGATCATGCTCACCAATCTCCTCTCAGAACTGAAGATGAACATTCTGTTAGTAGAGAATCTGAAGATACAAAAGATTCTAAAGGAACCGATGATCCAGTATCAAAGAGGACTTCTGATTTTCGAATGGTAAAATTCCCGACGAGAAATTTGTCTCATGTTAGTGTCTGTGACAATGGTAACAGAAAGAACGTTCAGATTGGTAGCGCGGAAGAACTCACACAGACTCGCCATCCTGAATTCATAATAGAAGTGAGTCGGGGGACAGTAAAGGAGGACTGCCTTTTGTATTGTACCGACGGAGAGGAACGAATTGATAGGACTGAAAGCACTAACGGATCTAATATTTTGCAAGGGAAAACCAATCCTTACGATGTTCATGCTAGAGACTTAAATAATTTGGAGGAAAAGAACCAAAACACATCAGCTGAAGCATTAAATTTGGAGCTTTGCGGGATTCTCGAAGCAGCTTACTGTAGTGAAACATCAGTTCCTTTTACAGCGCGTGACATTCGCCTGGTAGATAATGAAACCATTGCACTTAATCAGGAAAATAATGTAAAACATGACAAGGAAGAAAGTGAACGAGTTGTGGCTGAAACAAATTCTCCTTTGACACTCTTGGAGTGCTTTGAATCACAGGAAAGTGCAAAGAGGGAAGAGAAACGACTGAAGTCCATCGAATGCGTGCCACTCTCCTCAAAGAGAGTTGATGACTTTGTTGGTCCAGTTAGCACTGAGGGAACTGTAGATATTTCACCTTGTGTGATTGAACATGAACTAGGTTTGTCATCGGTAGACGAAATCTCTGGGCCAGTTGAAACAACTGCAGAAAAAGGGAACACTGAAGATGCAGTGCTCGTCCAAGAGAAATATGTTTTCACAGACGAGAATTTCCAAAGAAGAAATATCACGCATGCTTTTCAGAGTTTAATTCACTTAGAAAGCGAAATTACAGACTTGGAAAGCGTAAGTCGTGATGCCCGGACAGATCTTACCGGGCAGACTTCAACCCGAACAGAAACTGGTGGAAGCTTAGAACTGGATTCTCTGGATTCTCTAGATAAGGCCAAAGGTAAAAAAATCGAAAAAGGAAATCCTGCGGTTATCTTCACTGAAAACGAACGGTCCGCGGTGGATGTAGCATTAGGAAGGTCTGAAAGAACAGAAAATAACAGTGCATTAAGGTCAGCTCGTGTTTTTTCAGCAAATGAAGAAATACTAGAGACGACTTCACAAGCTATTTGTGGAAGAGATTGTCAAGTTAACCACACATCATTCACAAGTCAATCCGTTTGTGTCACCATAACTACCGAAACAACTAAGGATATAAAAGCATTCCCGTCTTCTTCTCCCTCTCCTGTCTGCTCTGTGCGAGACTTCCAGCTAAAAGGAAGTATCTACAGGACTAATTCAAACAGTGCAAGCGAAACTGACAGTATCCTCCAGAATGCGATGGAAAAAGTCACCCAGCTAGAACCCTTTTACAAAGCTGAAGAAGATGAATTCCCAGAATCACCAGAAAATCTTTGCAATGGTAGATCCTCTACCAAGAATAGTAAAGGGGACTTAATTTCTCCCGCTACTTGTGATGTGGCTAGTACTGAAGAGGACAAGATAGACAGGGAAGCAGGAACTGTCTTTAACGCCACTTCAGAGTATCGGAAGATTGACCATCTGACGTACAGAGGCAAAGTTCCGTCTTTGCAATGTGGGGCAAAGCCTGTTGCCGATGAACAAAGGAAAGAGGAAAAAGGAGTTTCTATCCCAAAAGAGACGAATAAATCTAAGGGGGTTCAGGGTGATGATAAGGAAGAAGGTGAAATTACTTCCGAGGAAGAAGGCGCTTCAGAGACTCAAAGGCGGAGTGAAAAAGGTAGAGAAGAAGGTGAACTTCCTTCGTCTGATTCCGATCTAGAGGTTGCTCTTGATGCCTCTTCACAGGGAACCCAAAAAACAGCTCGTTGCAAAAGTAAAGTGAGTGAAGGCGAATGTGAATTGAGAAGAATAAAAAAAGACTTGTGCTCAACAAGGCGCCATTCGTCAACTGAATTGCGCCAGAAACCATCTAAAGAAAAGTCCAGAAAACCTGGAAATTCAGGATGTGATGGAGGAGCCTCTTTGTCTTCCACTAAAAACTCAGATTTGAGGACAAAGTTAGGTCAAATAAGAAAAAAGCGATCAAGTTTAGTCTGTGGCTCTCCCGATAGTGGCACTCATGGTCGTCTCCGTGGAACACAATCGGCTGAAAATCAGGGAAATCTGGAAAAAGTTAAACAAGATGGCTTTAAAGCTGTGAATCAAACGAGCAAAAAGGAAGTTACATTGAGTGGGTCTTCTCAGACAAAGAGGAGACAAACAGGAAAGCATTTAAGAGGAAGTGGGTCTTCCGCTGGTTGTAACCCAGTGAGTAATGGACAAAGGAACCATGTAAGAGGAAAGGAGGAAATAAATAAAGAAAGAAAAAGCATTTTTCTACAGGACGATGATGATAGAACAAAGAAAAAAGTTAGACACACAAACTCAAGACGCAAAACTGAGGGTCGTTCTCACAACTCCCAGCTTAAGTCGAATAAAACTGCTCCAAATTCTTCACCCGAGTCAAAATTTAAGGAAAATGGAGGGAATTCACGCAGTTTTGAAAGTCATAAACCAAAAGTTAAGGCAAAGGAATCGACAGTCACTCGTGGCTCGCCGATATTGAAGAACATTTACATCAAAGAAGACAAGAAACTAGCGAAAGATTCTGAAACTCTCGAGCAGAAAATGAAAACTAAAGCATGTTCCCAAGTATCAGACTCTAAACGTTTACCTAAACATGTTAGGATGCAAGATCCGAAGAGTAGGGACTCAAATGGGAAGCGTGCTCATCGAAACAACGACGTAGTTAATCACTTATCGGATTCATCCGACGAGAGAAGCTTAGGGCGTCCTTTGGAGAGTGAGACAAAAGCCGTTGTCTCGACTCATGCTAAGTGCAATAGTGGGAGTGATAAACACGGTCGTAAGATGGCAAGCTCACGTGTCTTAAGTTCACAACCCAAAGAGCAAAGTAAGTCTGCGAGTAATCTTAAAGTGAGAGACGAATCAAAACGAATGATAACTAATGCGGTAAAACAGCGGAACGACAATAGAAAGGGGGAATTGAAACAGGCTAAGACCACAGTTAAGGTTTCTCCACGAAAGGCGTCCAGAAAGATTGCTAAAAACGTTATTGCGAATTTTACCTCTAAAACTAAAGTTCAACTTGAACGTGGTGAGACGGGAAGTACCAGGAAGCGGAGAACTAGTAATGACACGGAACTGCACCATGCCAAGAAACTGCGTCGTGAACCGGAAGAGAAAGGTCGGTCAAAACTTCCAATGGAGGCTTCAAAATTTGAGATTCCCCTGTCTAACTTGAAACGTGGCGAGAATGACATAAAGAGCGGATATACAGATAATTCCCAGAAAAGCATCGATGGACTACACAGCCCTCAGCTAAAAACGGTTATAATTGGTCGTAACAAGTGTTTGGTGTTTAAACATCGTCATATTAACCAGCTGTTTCTCAGAGGAGATAATGTTGTCATGGTAGCTTACGCAAAGTGATGTAGATGATTGACTCTTACGTTGACTCTTACGTTGAAGTGTAGAAAAATGATTAATTAAGCGGACATTAATGAAATATGAAACTGGATTCAGCCCAAGTAATATTTAAGGTAAAGATATAACACACGCATGCGTCTTTTTCACTGTTAGGAGAGGGGAATGGTTCAAAATCGCAACAAGTTTCTTGCTCGTGTGTTTTTGTTATCTTTTTTTGCGGACCCTGACTTTACACAATGTTTACTACCATTTAAGTTATTTTAACTGACTGACCATTAGAAACCTCTCAATGATTTTTGTAAGTCGCAAAATGTGAGCACTAAAACGTGAGAATGTTTAAGTTAAGGGAGTGCCCAACAAAAACTGCAGCACTATAGATTTCATCTTTGGTTTTTGCTGGCTTTCTTAGCCTGTAACTTCACAAATTGATGGTTTTGTGCGTCTTTAAATATAGTTATTCATTATCGAAAGTATGCACCGAAAATACTTACGCTTTTTGATCGCGCGCATTAACTGAATGAACACACTTTGTAGTTCAAGCAGTGAAACGAAGCGCTTACTTCGGACCAAATTAGGATTATTTGTAAAATAAACGGCTTCTTGAGTACGAGATTAATTTTCGAAAGAATACCAATCCGAAGTGTTATACCAAAAACGTTATACCAACCCTTAAAAAATTGAAGAATTTGTCCGAACAGTGAGTACATGAGGTTGTTACGTAAAACACTAAAGAGGTCTGCACCTGCTATTTATTATTTCTCTATTTATTTGCAGACTCAGAAGGGAAAGATAATCGTATGAAGTTTATCTCAGTTCCGGTAACAAATAAAAAATGTGCGTCTATATGGAAAAGGCCAAATAAATTAAAGAAGATGACGTGACTTTTCTGTTCAATTAAAGCACTTTCCTTTTAAAATGATGTACAACACCAGCTAGCCAAGCCCTCGGTTAATCAAGAATTGTTTTTTGTAAAAAAAGTTACTGTGTGGCTAAGCCGCTAGGTTTGATGTGACTACGTAATCGTGAACGAAAATGATTTATGCAGTTGTCATGTACATGGAACGAGGAAAAAATCTGAGTAACCCACTAGGAATCGAACCACACTTTCAGGGAGCTTTTCTTTTTTCAAAGATCCCCAGGGTTACGGTGTAATCGGATAGACGAGGGTAAGTGACTATATCTGTGGCACCACACTAACAAAGGGGTACAGCTCTATTTTGTCTCTCATTTCGGGAAGTAAGGCACTCCGAAAAAGATACGTTTAGATTTTTCATAACGGTTTCTCTTCTTAAAGTTAGCGACAACCCTTCCTAACAACACCGTAGTCTCGTGCAGTTAAGAAGTGTGCCTTTCATTATCTTTGGCTGTCCCAGCATCGAATGAGAAAGAATAAATTCCGTGGTGGAGACATGAGTAACTCGACCTTCCTGTCATATTTATTTAGTTGGATTAATGACAGTATTGATAATCTAAATAGAGAGTAATCCTTTCACTGAGCCATTTTTCTATATCTATTTTAATTCCTATAATACTTAAGTCGTCCGATAACAACTTCAACGCTCAATTTTAAAAAAATAAGTTTATCAATTCCAGAAGAAGTAATTTTCATTTAAAACTAAACACTGCTTACACAGGGTAATGCTGACAGAAATAAACAAATTGAAGAATACTTGGAAACCAAAATTTGTGGTGGCACTTTAAGTAATCTCTCGACACCGAAAATAGTTTGTCGCTGCTGTGAGCATACTTGGCTATTAACCTCTTTTGGGATCTGGTGAATATGGGGCATTGATGGAAGAGGTTCATGGAACTATGAATTCGCGGCAAAAATAATCAGAGGAATGAATTTTCAGGTCACTCAGGTCATTAGGTGAGATATGCTACTAGTATCTTACATTACCGTAGAGAAATTTTTTAGATCCTATTTTATAATTTCATCTTCCTGTTTAAACACGTCAGTTACCGGGCAGATGGTTGCGCTGATTCCAACGCACTCGCTGTGTCTATCACCCTTCAATTAAAACACTCTTCCTTTAAATTTGAGTGAACATATTTGACAATCTCATCTTCCTGTCCAAACGCGTTAGTTAACGGGATGACGGTTTCGTAAACTCTAGAGCACTCGTGGTGTCCATCACCCTTCTACCTCGGCCACATCTGTTCATCCATAAGCGCACTGTGTGTTGTCTGAATTCACGATCCTGAGCAGCATATATGACTGGATTAACAGCAGAGTTAAGAACGAGCATTAAATGGCTGACCGAGAAAGAAATAGGTACCCACCATTCTGCTGTAGTGAAGGTCTCGCCAGCAAACGTAGACAAAAAGTAGTGGAAATCAATTGGAAGCCTACAAATGATGTTAATAAAAGATATGAGAATGATAGTTTTCGTCAGTTTTTTCCTCTGTATCATCAGTGAGCGCTGAGAGATTTCATTGACTTGAGCTTTTTTTCCCCATAGGCGATGCACCACTCTTACATACAATCCCACCTGGATTACAAGTGGTACCAAGCTTAGGACGATACACCAGACGAACACATCAATCTTCCACAACGTTTCTGACCAGTCGTAAATGCACGAGTTCTTATTTTCGTCAAACTTAATGATCCAGAACTCAATGGAAGCATAACCACACGCAATAATCCAACTCAAAGCGATTAAAAGACGGAGTTTCTTTGCATTTATTCTGCCCTTTGAGCTGTGGGGATAAATCACGGCGTAGTATCTTTCCCATGCAATAAACATCAGTGTCAGCATTGAAGCCACAGCAGCCAGATATGTGAAACATGCATGCGTCAACATCTTACATAACAAATCTCCCACCCAACCACCGGGATGCGTATATAAATCATTAAGAAGTGTTCTTGGGATCAAGAAAAGACCGACCATTGAGTCAGCCAGGGCTAAGTTGGCCAACAAACAGTTCATTGGAGTCTGCATTCTCCTGTGTAATAAAATCACGAAGATGACCGATATGTTTCCAACAAGATTTGAAGCGAAAGCAATAATGAATAGTACTTTGAAGGTCGTTTCCATTGTAGATAAAGGAAGATCGAAAGGAGGTTGTTATGATATTCTCAATTTCGCTGTATATGCATCTTATAGATTCGATCAGTTATTTACATTTGATTCCTTTCCATAGAAGGAAAATGTGAGGAAATGTGAGCTACCGCCGACTTACCAGGCGAATGGAACTGTGTCTTAGTTTGTCGAGAGCGCTATTTTACCGGCTCTCTTGCGAAGAACAGGTGAAATTGAATAATCACGTTCTACGATAACATTGAACACCAACATGCCATGATTGCTATTTTTAAAGTGGATTTTCGATGTATTAGACAAGCACATATTGTAATTAAAGTAAATACAGCAACAATGACAGTTTCCTGTTCTTTTTTGCAAAGAAATGAAAAATGACCTTATCCAATCAAAGCTAAGAAATCACGACAAATACTTAATGGCAAACAATTTCACAAATGCAAAAAAGCACGATCTGGAAAGCCGATTAATCATATTTTGATCTAATATTTGGGACGATTTGGTCAAATTTTCTCTTTATTAATATGGGTGAAAATTACTTTAGAGGATATTGGTGTGATTTCGAAATAGTAGGAATTTTAGCTATCCGTTTAACGCAAATTTAATTGATATGTTCACCTCCATAACGTTTGTTTCCATAAATATAGCTTACTTGTAAAAAGTGTTTCATCCTAAAAATGTGTCATAATTGATGATCGATCAGCCGACGAATACAAAATGAATCTTCCTCGCTCGTTTCCATTTTTAGTTCGCTTTTTCGTGGCAATATTTAATTATACATAATTACATGAGAGACGATTTCAGGAAAAGAAATCGTTTTGAGTTAGCATTTATTTCAAATTAAAGTAAAACTGAAATCATGTCAGTTGTACTTGCTGAGGTTACCATCCATAATCACGGCTCCGATATCCCTTTCAAAATTGATTAAAGTGAAGTAATATCCTTCAGTCTGCATGTAGAACCAGCACGAGTACATATGCGTCAGATTCACTTAAAGTCGGGCCCCCTGGCTATGAAAGAGTCTGTCAGTGTGCAGAGTGGTTTTTTCAAGTTACAACGTTTCTGGAAAAGGAGAGTGAGATTATCAACGGATGTATTGTTAGTCCTCACCTGATTAAACCTTAACGCCCAATTTTTTTAAAGATTTCCCTTGAGCTTTATAATATCGCTTGTTCTCGCATTTGTCGATAGGGGACCTACGAGCTCAAAAACCAAGAAAGGAGAAATAAAGCCATGAAAATTTGATATGTAGTATTTCGGAATCATCTGCCTCCTGTTCAAACACTTTTTGAAAGAGCGATATTACATATTAGATGCAAATTAGTGACACATGCCCTACAATGCCCTGCCTTTTGTCACTACATTTATCACACATTTGCTACGTCTCTCTTAATCAATTTTTAACATAAAATATTTGAGCTCTTTGTCACATATATTAATTCAGCTGATAAAAAATGTCAAGTTGTCGCCAGCGACACATCAGTATAAACATCTATTAGATAAAACATTTATCACAAATTTGCTACATGGTACTCTTGCTAAATTTTTAATATAAAATATTTGAGCTCTTTGTCACATATATCAATTCAGCTGATAAAAAATGTCAAGTTGTCGCCAGCGACACATCCGTATAAACATTAGATAAAAGATATTAGATAAAAAACTCTGGCGGTGAATTGAGACCTTCTTAAAAGAAGCATACAAACTACTCTGGGGTGTCGCTTCACCACGAGTTGGTTACTTTTATGTGCACGTTTTCACTAACCTTATTCAAGAAACGACGATCACAACCACATCGTGGTAAATTGAGTGCAAACAGCAGAGGTGAGGCTAGAGAAGGCACCGCATAAACTAGTGTTGGTCTAAATTTGGACATAACAGCAAATGATTCCATTATATAATTACTTCAGTCAACTTTGTCTTCGCTAAAACCCAGGTTTTCGGAATACGAAAGGATGGTACAACCATTCAAAAACGCCCAGCACAACCTAAAGTTTGTTTAAACAACGCAGCTAAATATCAATTTGTCTTATTTGACACAAAGACAACTTCCCCAGTTAAAGATGCAGAAATTTGTCAAATAACTGCAATTACAAAAGGAGGAAAAATCTACAATAACTATGTATTACCAACGCGCAATATCAGCCTCTATGGTAGTTACTAAACCAGGAATGACCTAAGACGACCTAACATGAACTAAAATGACCTTGAGTGATTTCCGAAACGACCTAAAATGACCCAAAATGACCTTGAGTGGTTTCTAAAATTACCTAATCGGACCGGATCGGATCGGATCGGATCGGATCGGATTGTTCCTTTCGGTTAGCAGATTTTACGTGGTCTAGCACTGATTTGGTTTTCGGTTTCCGTCAAAAATTCAAACGGGTTTTTTCCAATTTTTTTTCGGTTTTTCTTCGACCTGAGCGGCTCTCCTGATCTCGAACAGCCGTAAAACGCAAATGTTATTGAGAGGAGTTCGTGACAAACCAAATGTCACTAAAATAACTTCTCGTTGGTTGAATATCGTAGGGATCAGTAGGAGGTCACGCGTCTCAAATTGCGCCCGAGACTTTGACCTTGCAATGTGGAATCGATCAGTTTGCGAACTATGGCTTCCAACATGCCTAACGCGCTAGCAATGGAAGAAGCTCAAGGACCCTAAGAAGCGATTGTGGAGTGTGTCGCGCTTTTCTTAACTGACTAATGAAATAATACATACCTGTAGCTTACCTTCGTCCACACAGCCCTGAAAGTGACTACATTGGGTTTTTTGAGCAAAAAAAAAAATTCACAGAAAGGCCTACGATCTATTTTGTCACGTAGACTTTATTTTGGCTTGTCGTGCAAAATTCCTAATTTTATTTTGCATGATCCGATCCATGATCCGTGATCTGATCCGTGATTCAGTCCGTGATCCTATCCCTGACCAAGTCCGTTATCCTATCCCTGACCAAGTCCGTTATCCGATCCGTGATCCGATCCCATCTGCTCCGGTCCAATCCAAATCATTCTAGGGCATTTTAGGACATTTTAGAAATCACTCAAGGTCATGTTAGGCCACTTAGGGTCATTTTAGGTCGTTTTAGGTCGTTTTAGATCATTTTAGGTCATTTTAGGTCATTTTAGGTCATTCCTTGTTTTCGTAACTACCCCGGCATTATGCATCTCGAGTAAACAGCAAAATCACAAATGGTCAGAGAATATTGTTCAAATAAAACACTCCTGTGAAATCATTACCTCTAAGTGAATGCCTTGTAAATTTCCTAAATTTCCTCTCCAGCGTTGGCCCAAGTAGCACAACTCGTCACACTGTCTTGATCGGTCACAATTCCTCTGTTTTTGACACTCCCACGCTATTACGATGTGCTGGGCTGGATTTCAAACAAATGCTTTCATCGATGAATTTTTCCTTCGTGTACAGCCTTCACCTCCTCAAAACACTCACCAAAAATAGACACACGTCGCTCAATCTTGGAGGAAAAGCGCGCAAAAGCAATCTTCCATCTGTCTTTAAGACACTTTTTGACGAATATTTTCAAGCACACTATGCTTTGGAAGGTGTGCGTGCTCTCAGACGCGTACTTTTTGAATTCCCGCTGAAGTTGACAGATGAAGATATTGTAATCAACATCAATCTAAAGCCGGCCTCCTTCTCGACGAAATGGTGTAATTGAACGAACGTTTCGTACGTGTGCAAAAGTTCATGGATAAGTTCTTCTCACAAAGTGGCAACGGGCTCATAAGGCAAAGCCTAATTCAAAAACTTGCCGAAGGCGGCCTTTCGTAACAGGATCTTCACCATTCATACTCAGGCGGTGGAAAAGAAGCATTAGTGGCAGTTTTGAGACGGGCGCCAGCAGGAGCTAATCGATCCACGCCACGAGGAACAAAATAACTGGCGACTTTAGCCAAAATTGTTCATCATTTCGAAGGCAAATGACACAGTAGCCATTAACAAACACCATTCATCCCAAAGGTAACAGTTTCTACCCAAAATAAAGTTGTACTCTCGGTACAGCATAACTGACAAAGCGAAATAAACAAACAGAATGTCTTGGGCGTCTTGCGTATTCTTTCTCGTATACAGCTTGAAAGCATGCACAATTGCCTACCTTATAGTGTTAAAATGTTCAGAAATTTGAAACTTCCGGCGGCATTATTTCCGCTTTCGCTCAGTAAATTTTTTTCATTTTTGGCATTTTGTCTTCGCTCCGTCCGTGATGCCTTGAAAGCGATTTTTGAAAAATTCTGTCAACTGAAAAAAAAGTGAAGAATGAATTCCAAAACGCGGGGGTTTTCACTAAAATTTCTGACAGAATTTTATTTAAGTTGGCTCTCAGGTAGAATGCATAACTCTAAGACTGTATGCAAAATTTAAACACAATTTACCGAGGAATTTTTGAGAAAATTAAACATTTGTCTGTTTGTTGGCCTTTCTTCATAAGCTCTTTTGTGTTGCTATGGCAACGTTTATGGCACTACTTCTACAACCAATTGATGAAGCGTTATTATCTTTATTTCAGGGTAAAATTTGATGGTTATCCGCTGAGCCTACCTAAAGTTGTTTTGGTCCTTTTTTTCTTTTTGCCTATTTAATACGCCAAAAAAAAAGAAGTTTCCAGCCACCTTAAGAATCATCTGCCTCTTGTTCAAACACTTTTTGAAAGAGCTATATTACATATTAAATGCAAATTGGTGACACATGCTCAACAATGCCCTGCCCTTTTCCGCTGCATTTATCACAAATTTGCTACATGTTACTCCTGCCAAATTTTTTATATAAAATATTTGAGCTCTTTGTCACATATATCAATTCAGCTGGTAAAAAACGTCAAGTTGTCGCCAGCGACACATCAGTATAAACATCCGCTAGATAAAATAACTTTAGCGGTGAACTGAGACCCTCTAAAAAGAAGAATACAAACGACTTTGTAGCGTCGTTTCATCACGAGTGGGCTACTTTTATGTGCACGTTTTCAATGAGCAATTCGGATTTCTACATAGGAAAGTAAAATTAAAGGGAAATCAAAGGCTTTGTATTGCATCAGTGTACAGGTAAATGTCTCGATAAGCCACTGACGAACAACCGATCTATACTATTTTATCTGGTTTGTTCATTTTTTTTGCCTTAGAGTCATGCCCACTTGAAGCCAGTTAAAAGAGCCGATTTGAACAAGACTTTGAATCAAATTCTATGCAATATATATATGTTATTTGCCGGCTGGGAGGTCCGTATGATGAAAAACTGTGATCGAGGTCTTGAAAATATTGCCCGAGGCCGTAGGCCGAGGGCAGCATTTTCAAGACCGAGGTCACAGTTTTTCACCATACGGACCGACCCTTAGCCGGTAAATAACATATTTATTTTTTTTAAACTTGACGAAATTCTTTCCGAAAGAACCCGAATGATTTAGGGCTGTAAATACGGCAAGATCTTCCATAAACTGAACAATTTTTGAGCGAGTAAATGATAGTTAAAATAGAGGTGATGCAAATTAAAGAGAGATACCTCACCGAAACATTTTCATTTGCGTAAGGATAAAGGTTATTTAAAAGATTTCCAAACAAACTTTGGAACATTATTTTTACAAGTATCTGTCACAATCTGACACCTGTCAATTAGAGAGCGCGTAAGAAAAGAAAAAGCGCAAGAACATTTGAAAAACAACGGAACTAGTTTGGCAAGGACTGTCACACATGCTAATGTTTTCTTCAAAAACATTCAATGATCTAACGGAAAGTATTATTCACTCTCATCGACGATTCATTCATGTACGAAGATTTACCTCTGTTCACTAAGTTAACGGCGAGGAAAGTAATTGTGAGTAAATTCAAATTTTTTATTTTGAAGTCGAGAGTTTGCTCGTTTGTTTGCTGCAATGGCGTGTGTAAATCTGGTCTTTCTTCCACAAAAACTAAATTCGATGGCAAACTCCAATGAGACACAAGGGGATTTAATGCGGCCTTTTCTCAATAAATTCCTTCAGTTTCCACAGTACAATTTACGGTACAAATGTCTAAATTGAACGGACTCGGTAAGACTCACCGAGATATTAAATGAATGAAGTTCGTTCGTTCAGTTTAACTGTAACCAAATACCTCACGTTTTAACTTTCTAGGTACTTTTTGTGAACGATTAAAATTAATTGCAGACGGTTTTTAGGCTGCTAGTCAGCCAACGTAATGACACTATTGCTTAAACAAATTCTTTCTGAAACCAATATTTTTCTGTCGATCACAGTGATTTGATAGTGAGAAAAGAGAGGATTCACAAGTTATTTATCGGCTTGAGGTAGTGACCGACGTGTTTGCTTAAAAATACTGTCCAGCCGGAAAAACGAGATATATTTATGAAAAATGGCAACGAAATTTGGGATGTACTCGGCGACTCACGAAAGCGTTACCGTGGCCCGTGGGCAGAGATAGGAAAATACTGACCGGGTTGAGAACCAATCAGATTGCAGGATTCGTTACCGTGCCCTCTAAAAAAACATAATTTAACCTACTAATGGAAATATGAATTCATAATTTAACAAAAATACGAAATAACACCAAATTGATAACTCTCTATATTTTACAAGCCTTTTGATGGGTGCGTGTTACACTCAGCCTATTTAGTTTAACTTTCTGTTTTGTTCGGTGAACGAGTGTCGATTCATTTATATTTTAAAGCTTATCTCAGATATGGCTTGAATACAATTCGGTTTTGATTTAGCAGTGCTGTAGTAGTTTTTGTAATAAGGAAGATTACCTACACAACATTTATGTAACGTGAAATGCCGATCACTACTCTTGACGAATAATTTTTTATCATTTGTTTTATCTTGTAACTTTCTTAGGGTTCCGACACCGAAGGGTTTAGAGGTCACAGTACCGGCCGCACTCCAAAATGGCTTCATCTCTCCAGATAGTACGCTCATTAGAAATGGGAATCTTTTTCCCAGTAAACTTAATTGGCAATCTTCTGGTCATTATTGTGATCAAACGCACTAAAAAAGACTTGCGGACTCCAGTGAATTATTTGTTAGGAAACCTGGCTGTGGCAGACATAACAGTGGCCTTCTTTATGGTCGTGGACCAAGTTTTCTTTCATACGGCCAATCATCCCGGAGGCTTGACAGGTGATTATCTGTGTAAGCTCCTCACTGGAAAGACCCTCTCCTGGGTAGGGTCCGTGGCTTCCGTATGTACACTTTTAGCTATAGCTTTCGAGAGGTGATTTAACCGTTTTTCATGCTTTGTACTAAAATTCTAATGAATTTGACACATTTAATTAAGCTTTTCTTACATTTCAATGCTTCACACTGAATAAAAAGTATTCTTTAGCATAAAAGAAATACCTTCACCTCTGCTTTCTTTAAGTCTCTCCCAACGAGTCCAGTTTCAGGCCCAATCCATCTCACCTACAGGTTTTTCAGGTTTATCTTCGAACGACGTTCTGTATTTCGAGGCTTCTGCCTTAGCGCTAACATCATCAGATTTTCCGGGTGAAGGCAATTTCATAGCAGACGGTGTGGAGATAATGTGAACGACTTCGTAAAAGGGGAAAAGTGGTATTTTGTCGGAAAGAGATTTACCCTGAGAGTTAGATTGGAAACTGAATGAAAAACTTGAGAAATTGACTTACCGTAAGAAACGGTTTTCCTCTGAAACTGAAAGTGACTGTAAGGAATAAACTGACACAGGTGTATCCATATTCTATGTCTATTCAAGCCGTCCCCTTAACAACCTCTTCTGTCCTTTCCTTTTTCAGTTTAGCTTGAAATTGTAAAAAATGAGATTCATGAAAGTCACATTAACTTTCGTGGATGCGATAGTGACACTTCTTTTCATTAAATTTCTTCAGCACTGAAAACCTATGAATATCAAACTATTAAGAATCCTTCCTCTTGTGGGAACGCGTTGGAAAATCCTACAGATCTAAAGAAGGTTAAAAGCATATTGCGATTGACGATTAATTAGTAATCTAACACTGTATGATATGCTGCTTCCAAAAGATTTTAGGGTAAGGGTATGGACACTAAGGGATTCCACCTGACAACATATGGAAGAATACGGAGAACTGGGCCCTGATTGGGCCTAGCAACGAATCCCCTACTTTTCCTTTCTCATCACAATGTTTTTTAGAATACGAGGTGGGATATCAGCCCAAACAAAATATTGCTACGGAAACACTTCCCCTTCTAACACCCCTGTCTATGAAACCAATTCGGGGACATTTGATTCTAAGTCAGTTTTTTATTTTTTCCACACAAAGATGTGCTTTATTCTTATTAACGTTACTTTTCATAGGTTCTACGCAATTGTCTTGCCTTACCACCGCAGAGAAAGAATCACCAAGAAAAAGGTTGGCGTCCTTGTTGCGTCGTGCTGGGTATTTGCCTTTTTTTTCAACGCGCCTTTATTTGTTGTTCGCAAATTTAATGACGACCCAGGGACTGGGTTCTTTTGCAGAAGTTCCTGGCCAGACAATCGATTAGGACTTAGCTATAACTACTTATGGTTGATGTTTGTGGGAGTAATCCCAATTTGTGTTATGGTATTATTTTATGGTAAGATCGTCCACAACCTATGGCACAGCGAAAGACAAGCTGTGCACGGAGCACAACTAGCTCGTTTGAATTCAAGAAAGCGAGTCACAAAAATACTTGTCACTCTGAACATTATTTACGCATTCTGTTGGTTTCCCAATTTGTTGATAAACGTCATCGTTTATTACATAGCTAACCCCAAACTTTACTCGATCGGTTATCTTGTGACGGAGTTGCTAGTGCTGTTGAACTCCAGCATAAATCCGTTTGTTTATGCTTTGCAAAGTAAGCAGTTCCGAATTGCCGTTAAGAACATATTTTGTTGTAGGAAAAGAGTGGAAGTAAGACCGCTTGCTACGTTCGATACCCGGGCTGCTGATAGTTCTACACGGAGTGTTAATATGTCACATTTGACACAAAGATAAAACTCCCACGCTCGAGCTGAGCTCTCACAGCATCGTAATATGTAATTTTTCATCAGTGCTTAAAAGATTTGTTAAAGTTCAGTAATCACTATCTCTTTTGGAACCTCGCATATCATTTTTTAATTCCTAGATAACGGATAAATGTCTGAAAGAAAAATAAAGCTCAGGAAAAGATGTCTGACTTGTCTCTATAATTTATCCCTTAAGACTTAAAGGTTAGGGTTAGGATTAGACCTTTTAAAGCCTGGAGTTTTATTCTTCGTGATATATAGGAATGTAAGTATGTAAAGGAATGTAATGCAGATACTTGAAGACTGGATGTCAGCAACACAATGACAAGCTTGTAATTATAAACTGTAATTCTTCCAAGAAAAATTGGTACCACTTGAAAGTAAGATCTCTAAAGGTTTTTGCTAGATGTTTATGCATTCAAACATTCACAGTCACATCAGTCTTTTTGAAAACAAAAACATAAATGACAAATCACATTTGGTGAAATATAAATACGTGTCAGGGCCGTAGCTAGCATGAGGCGAGACGAGGCAATCGCCTCGTCTTGATTTTGGCCCAAGATTAACTTTTCTGAAGAAAAATGCTACGGAAAATTCTTAAAAGAGCATTTCTGAGCCTCTAGATTTCAAAATTTTCTGGGGGGGGCATGCCCCCAAACCCCCCTAGCGACTCGCGCTTTCGGCGCTCGAAACTTGCCTCGTCTTCTTCTGAAGTCTGGCTACGGCCCTGCATGTACTCAGAAAACTAGAAATGGTCCTACATCGCACTTGGGTATATTGAAAGGACTGACAGTTTTGTCAAAGGGAGACTCCAATTCTCCCATTTTTTTCTGGAAACCCAACGTTCTAGATGAACAGTTTCGGCCTTCCATTTTCATTTAAAGCTAACAATTTTCTCCAAGTTTTTAACATGCTTGCCCCCCTTTTTTATTCAATTTTCAGATTATCAACATTATATCGGTTGAACTGTGGATAGCAATATCATGTCTAAAGCGGGTCAGTAATCAAGATTTATGGCTCATGTAATTAAAATAACTAAGCTAACTGCCTTAACTAAGTTGGATTCAGTGTTGTGACTAATATACCGTAGAACAGAATTTGCAATAGTAAACACAGCTTTCAACGAAATCAGTTTTTGGAAATTTTGGTATGGATAAAACGCAAAGATTTCAACCCTAGGATTTCTGCAAAATAAAACAAAGGCAGATACAATTTGGGTACGATTCACGACGACATTCCCATCATACTTGAGGCGACAATATTGGGGGCCGGGCTTACTGTAACTTGCAAAAAAAACGAAACGAGACAAAATAAGAATCCGTAATTTTTTCGAAATTATAATTTTCAATTTAATTTAACAAGACTCAATTAGCGTTTCCAACAAGTGTTTTGGCATGCAAATCAAATCCTAAACATCCTTGAAACTCTGGAATATCAGAGAGATTAGGTCAGTTTCATTTTCCCATCAAGCATGATATTTCATTTTGTAGAAACATGCTGCATACACCTCTGGTCACGACATTTTGCAAGTGTATGTCCTGTCAGGAAAGTTTTATGGCACGCATTCGAAGCATTCATGAATAACACCCTGTAAACGCCACAGCTAAAGCGCCATGTAATTTTTCAAATCAGACTTGAATTTTATATCTTGGTGGCGCAATTCCTCTCTCACATTGCCGATGCATTGATCCATTTACGAACAAAATGAAGATTTTGCCAAGTATACCATGGAGATTTTTCATTTTACTTATTCTCTATAGATAAAAAGTGAAGTAGAAGAACAGATGAAAGATCTAATGGCAGACAAATTTGTAGGGATAAACATCGTACCTGTCCAGCAACAAAGGAATGGCAGTGATTGCAGTGTGTTTTCTATCGCATTTGCAACATGTATTGTGTATGGTTTAAACCCTGGTATAGTCAAGTTTGATGTACCACAGATGCACCCACGTTTATCTCAATGTCTTAAAGCTGGAACAATGAGCCCATTTCCTGAGAAATAAGCAGCTATTATAAACTGGTATTGACACTAAATAAGCCACAAGAGTTATAGTATTTATCTATTTATTTGGTATATTTATTATCACAATATAAATGAAGAGTACCCCACCAATGATCAAGTTTATCCAACATCAGGAATGTAACAATGGTAAAATGGCGAACTGTTCAGTTATTGTTTCATACCTGATGATGGGCAATTTGTCTGAAATAAATGTATACAATGTTGAAGGAATTACTCAGCATTTCCAACATGATACCAATCTGTAATACTTGAATCAATGAAAATAATATTGTTCATATTATTAATATTTATATTCAAATTTCAGTTTCTTAAATTGAAACTAATTCAGTGGCATTTGATCAACAATGTTGTTATGAAGTACATTAGGACTGTAATAATGAAGCAGTTTAAGTAGAAAAAATAAATGATAATTAAATAATAAGTATATTGCATATTGGAACATATTTGATAGAAGCACTTGTTAATGAACCTTACCAGTGCTGTACTATGCTTTTAACACAATGAATGAAAGCTCTGTTGAAAAACATGAATGGAGGCTATACAAGAAAAAAAAATTCCTAATTATTCCTGTTAGCATGACTGCTTGATGTGTAGGTCCATGTATGTACTTTTAGAAATTTGTAGTACCTAGAGCAAACTAAGATATGGGTCACCAGTCAGACAGATGCTGAACTTGTGACAACTTATCTAAACTACCGTATTTATTCGCCTATAAGCCGATCTCGGCTATAAGCCGAGACCCTAAACTTTTTCATGTCAGCAGCTGTTGCATTGAAATAAAAAATAAACACAAAACATTCGGCTATAAGCCGAGACCTAATAATTGCAAAGTACTCCACGCGTGTCGTTAACCGAGATGAATTAACATAAACCGAAAACAAAAGGAGCTTCCCTCTCGGGAAACATGCAACCAAAAAGTAGGTTATGAATAAACATAGATCATTCTAGATCGCTAGAGATTACGGAATCAGTGAATCGATGGTGCGTCGTCAAACACTACTGGACTGGTTTTCAGGGCAGAGGAGTCAAGGTAAGGGTGCGTTTCTTTAAAAAAATCCAAATCCGGATTCTTGAATCCAAAAACGGATTTTGCGTTTCTTTAATAAAATCCGAAAATGGATTTTGAATCTATAGAATCCACACTCCGAGTGGATTCATTAGATCAAATCTAAATCCGGATTTTTAGGATTCATGATCCGTGCGTTTCTTTATTGCACGGATACAAAAAGCAGTACGTTTGGCAAGCGGTCGTCTTCTTAAAATCCGCCACATTCCCGCCATTTTGTTGTAAATATTAGCTGCTGCCGGCCATGGCGAATAAACAAGGTGAGTTTTTTGTGTAGTTTCACCGAAATTTTCCGTCCTGTACGTATTTTTATAAATTTTCCGGATGTTTGATGCGTCTTGGCATCTTTTATTTCTATCTACAGGACAATATTGGACGCACAGTTTATCTGCAGGTGAATATCCAGAATATCAGTGGAACGAAAGCCACGTTCAACCGGGCATTCAACCTTATCTTCCTCAGTTCATGTTTCCACCACCGCAGGCATCACAGTTCAGCCATGAAACAGTCAGATCAGTATCACCTCAGCCTGGTCCAAGTTTTTCTTCTTTGGAAACAGCTGCAGCCACGTTCAGTCAGTCGCGTGAAGGCACCGAAGGCGAATCGAGAGCTCTTGTACGCTGGTCTAGAGCTGATGTGCTGTTGTTAATTTCCTGCTATGTCGAACGCAGAGAACGATTTAAAGATATAAACAAAAAGAACAAGTCCCTGTGGGAAGAAATCAGCGAAGAATTAAAGAAGAACGGAGTGTTCTTTAATGCCAAGGCGTGTGAGACGAAATTGAAAAATCTGAAGAGAAGTTATGTTGCTTGTAATGATCACAACAAAGTCAGCGGAAATGACCGAAAGAAATGCAACTTCTATGACGAACTTCACGAAATATTTTCGAAAGATGATGCCATCGCTCCAAAAACATTGTGCAGCAACATTGATGGTAAACGGAGCAAAGATGCAGTCAAGAGTGTTAAAAATTCCAGTTCCACATTGAGTTCCACAGGTAGTGACACAGAGGAGCCTGTGGTTACAAAAGCAAAGAAAAAGAAGTTACCAGAGCGGAAGAAAAGAGAAGACCTCGTTGGGCTCTTTAAGGAATTTACACAAGACAGGAAAGAGGAAGAAAAGGAAAAGATTAAAAAGTTTGAAAATATGCACAATGAACGCATGGCACTCATCGGCCGATTTTTGAATGTTTTTGAAAAATCATTGAACAAAGAGTAACCTTGATTCCATAATTTTTTATTGTGTTGCAGAACATGGGATTATTTGACCACAAACATGAACATAGATACAGTAAACCTGAGTTTGTTGTCAGTATTGAGTTATCTAAAAGTTTATTATATCATACATGTTAACAGTATTATTGCAAGTTGTATGTTTTTTTTTATCACATACATACAAGGAACTACAACAGCAACATTAGGTGAGAGGGCCTAACTAAACTGGTTTTGATATTATTTATATCCTTTACTTTTTTTAGCCTGATTCTCAGATGCTTCAGATCACTTGTGTCACGCACTTCCTCCTTTCTGTGCGTGACACAAGCAACCTGGACTGTCAGAGTATTAGGCTGTTACATTTGTGTTGAAAGTTTACATTTCAAGCAACACCATAAATGTTTCAGGTAGTATAAAGTGATCCATGTACATGGCTCTACTATTTTCTTATATACTTTTAAAAACAAATAAAATATTGATATTTATAGCAAAAAGACTATTATACAGTATAAACTTTATGAATGACATACACCACCTATGAAAGAAGTGTTCATGAAAACACCACAGTACAAAAGGTATCAATACATAAACCACTTATAAATGCTAGGTTTATGGGATCAGTCTCATTATCATGTTTCTCTTATCAACTGCTCCTACACCTGGTGGAAAGATGTCATCATCATTGTCATCATCATCATTAGAGTCATCTAAAAAATCATCGATGTCATCTTCAATAATGCAAATGTTGTGTAAGATGCAAGAGGATACAATAATTTCCGGTATGTCCTCAATTTTGTCAACATCCATCATTGTTTTTAGCTTCCTAAACCTGTTCTTAAAAAGCCCTATGGACCTCTCAACCACCATTCTGGTGGAACTGTGGGCAGTATTGTAACGTCTTTGTTGAGCAGTCAAACGTCCGTTGTCTCGAAATGGGGTCAACAGCCACCTCTTCAAGGGATATGCTGCGTCTCCCAAAATGTGGGAGTTGCCAGGAAAATAATTGTCTGGGTTCACTTCAACTTCTCGGCAGATCGGAGAATTACGAAACACGCGAGCATCGTGTACTGAACCAGGGTAACCACAGAAAACATCGGTTATGAATAAATCCGGGTCACAAATGACTTGTAGTTGGACGGAAAAGAAACCTTTGCGATTTATGTATTGTTCATGATTGTTATGTGGTGCTTTGATTGGTATGTGGGTGCCATCAATAGCCCCCAAAACACCCGGAAAACCCTTTTTCTCTTCAAAGGCCTCCATCACCGCTTGGGCTTTTAGACCAGTTGGAAACTTGATAAACTCATCCATTAAGTTCCTCACTATTGCTTTGCAAACTCGTCTGTAGACTCTGTACGCAGTTGCCCTGCAAACATCAAATCGATCGGCAACAGAGCGTAAACATTCTGGATTCCCAAGAATCCACAGCGTAATAAGGATTTGCTTTCTTAACTCGACCGGTGGTCTTCCTCTATCGCCGGTGTATTGAGGTAAGTCGCCGTGGACCGAAAGCAAATGTTCGAGAACTGTAACTGTATGCCGTGACATGCGGAAGTGACTTCGGAAGTCCTCCGGTATGTAACTAGGTACGGTTATTTCGTAAAAATTCTTTGTGCGAACGTGTTCTTTTCGGACGAGCTGTCCGGCCGCCAAAAGGAATAAAACTGCTTCGTCATCGGCTCCTAAAAGAACCTGTTGTTGTTCAAGGTCATCGGCAAGGACTTCTTCGAACAGTTCAAACATCAAACCAAAACTTTCCGCCATTTTGAAAACTCCCCAAAACACGCGAACTGCATGCTGGGGTCGTTACGGCTAATTGAAAAAAAAATCCATTTTCGGATTTTTCGTGTCTTTAAAAATAACGAATCCGCATGATCTCGGATTAAGAATCCAATCTTGGATTTTTTTAAAGAAACGCACCCTAAGTCTTTCGTTTCTTTAAAACAATGAAAAGCTTCGATCAGCTGATATCTGTCAGATCGTGTTGCAATGTTTACACAAACCGTGGGAATGACCGCTTCTGATTGGCCAGTTTTTCATGTTGTCAAATTTCGAATCTTGTTAAGCACCCACAAAATTTTTTTTGGCGAAAATACTCGGCTATAAGCCTAACCCCCTACCTTGGCGAGAATTTACCTGTTCTCAGTTTAATTTGTTGGAAAAATCGCTCGGCTTATAGGCGAATAAATACGGTATCTCATTAAATATCATCTATTCTCAACATACTGATTTTTCATCTGTTTCTTTTTTTGATTTTTTTAATAAAAACCTAGAAAACCCTCTAAGAATCCATTTGCTCCCTAGAACTTGAACCATTTTTAAGTGTATAATAAAAACAATGCATTTCAATTTTTGTGGAAGGTACTTTAGTGGCAATGCCATTTTTTTCTAGCTGATCACTGATAGGCTCATATGATCCAGAGAATTGTTTTCTGAAATTTACACAAACATATTTTCCTCAGCATTAACTCAATGAGTATAATGCTAATCAAGGGAGCCTATGACAAAGACTGGATGCATTGTTTTTTTTAATGAAATTTGATTGGTCATCACCATCTGAATGACTCCAGTTTTAATAACTTCACTACAATGAAACTAATGCACTAGTCAGTGGAATCTCCGGCCCTTAACAACCCTGGGAATAGCAGGGGATTAGATTTAAAAAAAAAATGTCTAATGCTGTACTAATTCCTGGCAATTCCCTGTCCAAGGCTGCATTTCTGCCAGTCTAACTCTCTTATATGTACTAATCAAGTAAGTGATCTACTCTCCACTTAATACCCTGCTTTATCCCCAGTAATGCCCCATATTCCATGGGTAATCAGCAACGGGGGATTCCACTGACTAGTGCATAACTGAAATAGACTAGTCAAATAGTACTATATCAGGTCATAAATTAACCAGAGCATAGCAAACCTTTATGATGTGGTCAATAGCAGAGATTTTATCTTCGAGAGATCCATGAGGATTATTCATTAAAAAATCAGTTGGCAGTGTTCCTTGAAGCAATGTATACTTGCTTCGCAAAAGACCAATGATTCTTTCCACATGGATATGAATATTGGCAATTCCTCTTGTGGTTTCAACATCAACTGGGTCAAGTTGCTCCTTGCCTTTGGTAAAAGCTGGAACTACCAACTTTGCCCTCTTGAACGCAACACTCTCATGTATGGTGAAGCCTCAATCAGCCATCACCATATCACCAGGAACCAACTTGCTCAAGATACCACAGTTTTCTGTCAAAAACTTGTCCAAGGTTCGACCACCCCATGCCTCAGAAGCAAATGGAATGCTACCTTGTGGTGTGATGCCAATCAAGACTTTAATGGTATTATGGTGTTTGTAAGAGCTGAATGTTTGTGCTCTAGCGAGTAAATTTGTAGGTTTCTCAATAAAAATCTCAAAACAGTCAATTATCACAGTATTTTTAGTTCCAAAGCTGAACTGGAAGCATTGTGGCATTGACCTTATCAAACTTTCACGATCTGGCCAGTGGATAAATGGAGACAATCTTATGTCCATAGTTATGGAAACCGTTGGAACTGAGATGTTCAACCGATAAGCTAGGTCTTGAAAAGGAACATCCAATCTCAACTTTATCAGGACCATAACAAATTCTTGAAAAGGACTCGGTGTTTAGGAGCGACGAGAAGCAAACGGTGACACGAGTCAAACACAAAGTTCAGGATTTCATAAGAAGGAAGGCCAATATAAAATAGTACTTTATCGTCGCTATTCCTGAAATACTCTTCGTCAAAGTCAGTTACTTTCTTATTTGCACTAAATAAATAATCAAATTTGTTAGTCTGTGAAGAGGCATCATGAAACTTAAGCTTAGGAGTACGTGCCAAACCTTCGGTCCGAGTACTCATCTCGCCAAAGCTTTTGACCTCGGTCTGACGGCATTTTTCATTTTTACCAGGCTCTTGATTTCCGTACGACAAGACAATTTCTTCTGTAGTTGTATCTAAATCGTAGCTCGTAGACGTAAACGAGATAATAGACACTTGAGCTCCTTCGTCATTCAACCGAAGTCTTTTCTCTTCGATCGTCGTTTTCGCTTCGTCAAGCTTCTTCTTCCTCCTAACTTTAGCTCTCTCTGCTCGTTCCTGCACTGCTTCCCCCGCGTATTCTGCCTTTCTTTTTGTGTGTCCAAGGTTAAGTGTTGGCACCCTGTCAACGTTGTAGTTATCCCTGGGTTTTGCTGGACGACTGGAGACAAAATGGCGATTACAAACACGGTCGTTTTTTAAGATTTGTTCAGTCAAGTCATCTCTGCTTATAGCCGCGATCCACTTCGTTCGACGCTCTGTTGAAAGCTCTTCAGCTTCTTCACCATGATTTTTATCAATAACAGGCACTCTGAAGAAGGAAACATCTCTATCTCGACCACTTCTTGCGTGGCAATCCGCGAATAAACACAAAACCATTTCTACATTACTTCACACCACGAGCTCTTCGAGTGTTTGTTTGTTCATCAATATGGCGGATAGCAACGGTTGTCAAGGCTTTGGTCACGTGAGGGACCACCGAGATAGGGCCTTTTACTATATTTATAAGGTGTAATTGAGACTGTTTTGTCTAAGTTACTTTGAGGGTCCAGATGAAATCGCCGCTTGAGGGGATTTAATTTATCAAAACACTTCAAGACCACCCACCAAAGAGAATATAACAATCCATTTAAACTTCTCATCAGGATAGAACCGATGGCCATAACTAGTCGCTGTGTGAGACTTCTGTTTTCCTTCTTCTACCCGTTTTTTGCGCGTGCGATGTTAATCAAAACAAAAATGTTTAGTTTTAAAATTACGATGAGGTTGTGCCTTGAGAAGCCTGTGTACGAGACAGGCGAAAAGGTAACGCCTTTGATTTCCATGGCAAATCTTGAGTTGCATCCATCTGACCTCAGACGTGACTTGAGAGTGCCGATTTGAGAGAGGGATTTCTGTTCTAGAGTTTTGCGGATTTCTGTACTGCCTAGATGTAGGAAAATTTGAAATTACCGGTCTGTGTAGTGGACTACGACCCGCTAAACTGACCAAAAATAGTTCACGTACCAGATTAGAACTATGATAATGTTTCTCAACTAATAATATACATGGAAAAATTACTCAGTTTTGATTGGTTATAACAAATGCAGTTTTCAGGTAATTCAGTGCAGAAGAGAGTTAATTTAGTGCAGAAGAGGGTTAATTCAGTGCAAAGAAAGAAACAAATTAGACATTCTGATTGGTCAATGATCAAAGAAACTCGCAGATAACCAATCAAATGCGAGCCTTGGATGTCGCAACAAAATTTGAAAATTTGCGAGCGAAACAATGGCCGGCGTTTTAAGTAGGTTTTCTTTCGCCACCGCAGCTGAAAAACAGCTTAAACAACGAAAACATTGTAAAAAGCACTGCTTTTTGGTTGTCCGTTTGGAAAAAAGTGGTGTTTAGAGAGGGGAATTGCCGAGGAAATCGAAAATTACGAGCCGACCCAGCTTAACACTTTGCTCGAGCGATCCAACGCCGAAATTTAAAACAAACATGGTTAAACCTCGGAAACGACGATTCCATTTCATCGAAAGTGATTCGGACACAGACTGAACAATTCCTTGCACTGTTGAGCCGGACTTTGAACTTTTTTGCACCTTAAAGATGTGAAGATATCATTGCATATTATTGTTTTGATCGTACGCAGTTGTTTTGACCGAACGCACGGTTTGAATAAGTTATTTTTTGCACTTGTGCGCGAGCTTTGCTTATGTTTAATTATGATAGACCATCTCGTATTTTTCCATGTATATTTGTGATGAACGTTTAAGTATCCGTAATGTAGCGAAAAGAAACTTTAGAATTCGTGTTTTGTTTCCATATATAATTCAATCATTGCAGCTTTGTTTATTTTTATGATCGTTTTTTATCGTTCCATTGTTCATGTTTTTAATCATTAATCGGAGCTTATTGTACCATGTGATTTAGCTGTCAATCTAGCTTAAATAAGGAATCGCTTGCGTAACCACGGAGTGATCGGAGTATTCAGTATCGGAGTAGTTGGAGTTTTCCTTTTGGAGTCACCAGAGTTGCCTTTTCGGAGTTATTTGCTCACCTTTCTTTTTACGCAGGATCAGACGTGAGTTACCATTGTACATATTGATCGCTTTTTGCCTTTCTTGATTTCTATTTTGCTTGTAATTTCTTTAGCTTTGTTTCTAATTACGCAATTTTCACCGCATGTGTGCGATATTTGGTTTGTGAATAAAGCTGAGAAAATCAAGTTTTGCATGCTGTGGTTGACACTTACCGTTCCCTACACTTGGGTACGCGACAATATTATTAACACGTAATCAGATGATTTTTTTCGTCCAATTTGGAATAAACAAGCACTTGTTAATTTTTTCAAAGACCGCAAATTGCACGAGCCCTACGGGCTCGTGCAATTTTGTTAGTCTTTGAAAATCTATTCAAAGGAGTCTGGCGGCCGGCCTCGTGGTTTCCATGCGGTCCTTCGAGAGGCTACTTGGTCCTTGTTATGGGGCAAGTAAAGCCTGCACTTGAAATAAAGCACATCTTTCTTCCGTTATCATTTGCAATGGTTTATGGAATGTGTTCAGTGGCAACAAGTGACACAACGTTCATACGATTGAGAGGAAACTAAGTGTTTTAACAAATAACTTGGTCGAAGCCTAATTTTATAAAATGATATAGGTATTTACAAACAAATTTATTACTCAAGACTGATAAGTCTGACGCCAAGTGATGCAACCTGTGTTTGAAGTGAGCGCCATCTACTCTGCAATAATAATCCGAAGGTATCGTCTGCCCAAATTCGGTCCAAATAAAAGTTACTATCAGGTAAGCAGAGTTGTCAATCCTTAAATAGGTCATCAATTCTGCCAACCGAATTAAGTTTTTTCACCGGAATTTTAACCGGCGAACAGAGTTACTTCCAGATTAGTCTACTATTAAATAATAGTACAGTATACACTTCATGCAAAATTATATTATGTATTTAGAGCTGGTTGTTTCCTCTCAGAGTCTCACTACAAGTACGAAGTATTAGGACAGAAACTGGAAATAGACTCTAAAAGATCATAACATTTGATGCGACCGTCCCTAATTCAAAATGGTGGTCTCTCTAATTATCTTCTCACGATTTTCTTACATCAGAGCAAATCTGAGTTGCTTTTCTCTTTAATCCAAGTTGGATGTATCTCTTTTGAACTTTCAAAACTGAATAATCTGACGGGATTAAGACAACGAAAAGTTGATGTTACTTTAAAGCGGTTTCTCGTAAAATCAAATTGTGAGAGAAAACCAAATCACCAGCAGACGTTAAGGGCAGTATTACTTGAGTGAGGTATACGATCATTTTGATCGATAGTAAGCATATTCTAAAATAAAAATAAGCAGTTTAACGTGTGATGAATTGTGATGTTTGGTAAATTTGAAACCTAAAGCACGAGTCTCTGAAACAGTCAAGTAATAATTTAAGATCTGAGACGTCTTGAGACAGTTTAGGAATGGGAGAGAAGGCTCTGAGGCTTTGTGTCCGAAGTTCTTATAAACAGCTTGAATTCAATCGCTCTGTAGACAGCCCTGACGGCTCTGACCTACTGACAACTGTGCTTGCTAAAGGTGTGGAGCAAAGAAATATCCGGTCATACTGAGCTGACTAGAATATACCTACTTCAATAGCCGTAGGAAGTTTGATCTAATAAAATACGAACAAAACCGGCTGTGATATCTTTGGAAGTTATGTCAATATTCTCAAAATTGTCCTCAGCCTGAAAATAACTATTTTCCTTTCCAGGCAGGCCCATATCACATCCAATATACAGTCTGCTTCTCTATTTTTTCGTTAGTTGGTGAAGCAGAGTTATCTCCAGAATTGTCAATTTATATACAGCAACCCTGTATTGAAATGGTATATATATTTGGAAAACTAGTTCACAGAAGTAGACAGTCATTGCATATATAGTCAAATTTAAGTAAGGTATCAGGAGTGTGCGATGTACAGAACAAATAAACAAACTATAGTCTTCAATTCTTTTCTACTGCCAAGGTAGCCCATTTCCAGTGATCTGAAAGAAAAAAACGTGATGACATTTTAATTACATCCTTTCTTTTTGCTATTAAACTTCAAAACACTGATACACCTACATGAAAAGTGATTCAAATAAGATGAATGGCTCTTCTTTTCAGGAACAATCTCTCTTAAACATGTATAAGTAGACACTCAATGCAATGTGTTATTGAGCCAAAGCGACGCAGTACTTAGGAATGGAACAGTCGTTAATTTTCCAACTTAAGAGTGTGCATGATGATACGAGTGAAGTCCATGTTTACGATAATGTAAGATAATAAGTCTGAAATATATTTTGTAAACGTATTTTCAGACACCCACAGACTATAATAACAATTTAGTAATTTCAAAATAAGCTTTGTTTTGTCTATTTAATTCCAGCTGCACTGACACGTCATCTTGTTTAAATTTACATTCCCCTGCTCTCTGCAAACACTAGGTCATTTCGAGTCTGACAGAATCGTTTCATGCCGAAATGATAGACCCGAGATTTAACCGATTGACATGAAAAAAAGGTTTACGTATTAGAGGAAGGAAGGACTTTCCATCAATGTGAAGTCATTGGCAAGTGTTGGAGAATCGAAAGGTGATCATGATTTATGCTTAAGGAGAATCAATTTTTTAGTCTCTCGCCATGCATGTTGAAGTTAAAAAACGCTAGGTATTTGCTTTGGTTCTTCGGAAATCTACCTTTTAAAATCATAGGCAAAGTTTCCGGGAACATTGATCTTGAGCTGTTCCATTAATTCGCGGATTATCTCATCGAAAGAAGGCCGAACTCTAAGTTTATATCGATGAACGGTCAAACAATAAAGGTTCAAAGAAATCCTGCCGTTCATATTTTGGTAGTTATTGAATGCTTGGCTTCCAGACTTTGTAAAATTATAGTAATTGCATGTGTCAATGACAAATATTAAAAATGTGGTGCAATGTTTTAAGGGAACGTTCATTATTCATGTAGCTTTGTATTTTAACTATCTCATCTTGCTCACCACACGAGGTACCTCAAATATCTTTCTAGAAATTATAGAGACTGAACTAGCATCACATTTGATCGTTTTTTGTCGACTCTTCCTTTTTCCCTCTCAATTGCCGGTCGAACGGAAAAACAACTTGGTTTTATTATTTCATTTGAATATCTGCATCATTGAAACAACAGTCCTCGCAGCTCATGAAACGGGCATCTACATATTCCCTCTAAACAATCAGATTCTGATCATTGTCAGTTGAATTATTGATCTATGGATACACTGTGTTAAGAGAACATTATTGAACGAACAATATTTCGAAGAGAATAAGAAGGGATTACATTTATTTTGTCTCTGAAAGATCTCAACAATTACCTCAGAGCCGACCGCTCAGG